TGACATGTTTACCAAAGAAATATTGTGCCTTTTATCATATTCTTCACAGTATAAATAACATCACTTGTAGCTACATGTTATATTGTATTACAATAAACTAACAAGGAACTGCATGTTGATTACCCTTAATTTTATAACTTAGTATAAAATGAATGAATTAATTCTATTAGGTCTTACATTTTTTAAATTTTGAACTGCAATGGCCTGATTTTAGTAATCTATCTTATAATACATGTTTTGTAATATATTTCTCAGTGGTTTTTAATATGCCTCAAAATAAGAATTAACATGCTTATTAGAATTGAAAGATAGGGCTGGGAGTGGTGGCTCACGCCTATAATCCTAGCACTCTGGGAAGCCAAGGCAGGAAGATCGCTTGAGGTTAGGAGTTTGAAACCAGCCTAACCTAGAGTGAGACCTTGTCTCCACTAAAGGGAAAAATTTAGCTGGACGTGTTTGCATGTGCCTGTAGTCCCATCTACTTGGAAGGCTGAAGCAGGAGGATCTTTAGAACCCAGGAGTTTGAGGTTGCTGTGAGCTAGGCTGACGCCATGGCACTCTAGCCCAGGCAACAGAGTGAGACTCTGTCTCGAAACAAACAAACAAACAAAAATTGAAAAAACGAAATCAGACTTTTTCTAAAAGAATGCAAGTCTGACTTGGAAGTTTGGTTTGCAAAGAGGACAGGCTTTGCTAGTTGGGCTATGTTACAGACATTTTCCACAAACTGAAAAGGCTAAATCTGTAACTCCAAGGTTTTGACAAAAATATATTTAAATTGTGTGATAAGATATATATTTTTAATTTAAAAATACTGTATTGGCAAGACAGTATTGAAATTAATACTGTTTCCATTTTCCCTCCATTTTAAGAGTATGTTGAGTTAAACAAGTGCCTCTACATGGGGGAAAAACAGTACAACTAATAGTCACTTGATAAGTGTTGGCAAAGTCTTTTTGGTAATCTGCATCAAAATTGAAGTGGATTATAGTGAAGGACTATAAGGGCTTGGTAACATCTTTTTGTAAGTCAGGTGGCCTTATTATTATAAAAACTGCTTTCGGTAGGTCATACATTCATGTTGTACCCATACATTCACATTGTGCCCTCAACTTTCATAGATGGTCACTAAAACAAACAATGTTGTGAAACCTGCTAGTATATTTGGGGACCTGGAGGATATTTCCCTCTGCATTATTGTTACTATGTAGCTCAGACAAGACATTTCTTTCAAAGTGTCCTGAAAAGCTTTGTTTCCATTTAAGAATTTGTATATGTTTCCTAAATGACAAGGGGAATCAAGCAACTGACTGTATTTACTTTTGCTTTGGCTACCAGAAAGCTCTAAATTTATGGGTCAACTCTCATATTGTGTTATACCTCATGACCTTGTTTTTACTTTTTCTTTGGTGCTAACCTCCTTGTCTAGTTAGTTTCATTGGTCCTCACATTTTTATATTTACATTTTCCTACTTTACTGTATGCATTTACTGTAAGCCATCTTAAATCACACATTTATAGATAATCTTTTCTTGATTCATTTCATTTCTAAAGATGGCTGGTCTATGATGTTTTGGGTCTTCTTACGGGGTTATCATGGTTTTAGTCTTGAGTTTTCCTTGCTCATGTGCCCATTTACCACCTATAGAAATTAGTTAGATTGTAAGCTTTTGGGGGGACAAGGACTTTTATTGTGGTCCCATAGTGCCCAGCATCAAGCACTTTCTGTATAATGCTCCCTGTTGTGTAGTTACAGGCTAATAATAAATGCAAAATTCTTAATAGTATTTTAATTGCAAGTGCATGCAACAACAGGAATTTTTTATCAGTACTGACTCCTGGAAGTCTTATCAAAAAGAATGAAAGATCCATCTACATATAGTAGACTTTATACACTTTATCATAAAAGAAATGTATTATGTAAGACTGGGTGGTAAATTTTTTCTCTAGTGATCAGGAAGGGAAAAGTAGTTCTGCTTCTTCAAACTGCTAATTAATTTAGCTTCATTTATCTTTCTCTGGATCCTTATTTAATACCATGGACACAGACTCCCTAAACTAGGTACTACGATGGAAAGCATATAAGCAGTCAAAATTACAAATGTCTATACAAAATCTTTACAATTTAATAAAATCTACAGAAACTCTACTAGGTTCATCCAAGTACACAAATTCGTATTTCTCAGACACGGCAAAACATAATCTAAGTCTACATTTATAGTTTAGATTAGCCAAATGTGCTAGGAAGAAAACGTTTTCTTAGTGTAATGTACCAGGCAGGCTGCTGAAGGCACTTTCTTCCCATGGCTCAGACTGTGGTCCAGAGCTCAGGGTGCTGTTTAATAGCTCAGTCCACAGGGCCTGCTCGTTGCCTCATTTCTAAAGATAATCACTTGCACTTAATTTCAAGCCGCTTTTTTACTTCAAAAACTCTGAACGCCTCATTGAGGACAGTACATACAATGTGTGCCAAGCCTCTGGTTTCAAAGTTCAGCTGTTTTTGAGTTATTCCACTGGACAAAAGGTCAAAAGATATCTTTCACACTAGAGAAAGTGTAATTTTCCATGTCTTTAGGAGGTTTTGAAATGGTTGAAGTGATTTTTCCTTAAAATTTCCATAAATAAATTTTACCAGTGATTTTGAGAAGTCTTGGCAAAAATTTTGAAATTAACCTTCTCTCTCCCTACTAACCTTCTCTCTCCCTATCTATGCAAGTACACAGATCCATATTTCTCAGACATGGCAAAACATAATCTAAGTCCACATTTATAGTTTGGATTAGCCAAATGTGCTAGGAAGAAAACGTTTTTCTTAGTGTAATGTACCAGGCAGGCTGCTGAAGACACTTTCTTCCTATGGCTCAGACTGTTGGAAGTGCAGATCTCCATAATGCAGTCTCCAGCCTCAGCCTCAAGTATGCCCCCCAGGAGCAGGGGAATTGGAGAGACCCCAGGTTCAAATTCAGATCTTTCATGTTTGAATTAAAAAGTATGGAGTGCAGAAATTTTAGTTTCTAAAAAGTCTCTCAACTTGTGAGACTATAACACAAACTTCACCTCTATCACTTAATATTACATATGTTTTAGCAAAAAGCTGGGAGAAGAGCTCTGGTGTCTGCAAATCCCTGTAGGGCCCTGCCATAGTTTCCTGATTATGTTTGCATCTCACTTATCCATGTACCTTACGGCAGACTTTTCCATACCTATGATCATTTCTGGCTTTCCACCTCAGGACAGTATGTGTCTTCCGAATTTGCCAGAGCTACTCCACACTTTATCTTCTTGTAGGATCTACTTCTGTGGGCCACCAACCAGTTGTTGGTGTATATTTTCGTGTGTTTTACTCAAAGTTGTTCAGTGTGGATGTGGTCCTACCAGAGATTACACTTAGCTCCCCCAATGAATAGCAAGGGGCCATAAACCACAGGTAGGAGCAGGTATACCTGTTAAGCCTTGGCCTCCCTCTTTTACCCATCCACTTGCACACAGGACTGGCTTTCTTTTATGATCCTAAGCAAATGTTTGGCCTTTTGCTGGCGGGGGGTGCGAGGACGGGAGGAGGTAGAGTTTTTGAGACTCATTTCAGGGCCTTTGATACATCTTGCTATCCTTCAACAGGTCTATCTTTTGTGTACCTCCAGGTCACCCTCTAGTCTCTTTGGTGATTAACAACCCTTAGGATGGTCTAACTTTTTTCATAAGTGCACAGTATATGTTTTATGAGCGTCGTCTTTGAATTGTACAAATATGTTCATCATCATTTCTTTGCCCTGTCGGTCTCTTTTTGCCTTTTCTTCCGTACAGTCACCACTTTCCAGAGCCTGTTCGGCAAATGTCTACTTCCACCGTCCACTCCATGAGCCGGTATACCCCGGTCTGCACCCCCATTCCTGCAGGTCTCTCCGGGGAAAGCGCAAAGTCGCGGTCCTCTCATTCCGACTGACTGCCATCCATCAGCCGCTTCTCCCATTGCCCAGCGCTTCCTCCCGCCGGTGAGTCTATTCCAGCCCTCGCCTCTTAGGGAAGTTGAGTCCCCGAGTTGTCCCTCCACATCGCCTGCCCGTCTAGCCTCCCGCCCGCCGCCCCACGCTCCGCGCACCGCAGCGTCTGCGGGTCGGACCCGGCCGCCCCCTCCGGCGCTCGGGCCTCGACGGGCTGGCGGTGGGTCCGTCCCGCGCCCGTGCGTCCGGCCGGCCCCGCTCGCCTCCAGTTCGGCAGGAACTTTACTCCAGCGGGAGGAGGACGGGTGAGCGCGGGTGCGGGTCGGCCCGCGGCGGGCGGGCGGGCGCGGGCGCGGCGAGGGGCGCCGGGCGGGGTGGGCGTGCGAGCGGGCCGGGGGCGTCGCGGGCCGCCCTGCCCTATAAGGGGCCGAGCCGCCTCCGCCGCCGGGCGGGTGCCGGGCGGACCGCGGTGGCGGCGGCGGCTGCGATTGGCTCAGGCGCCCCATCCGGGGACTGGGCTCGGCGCTGCTCGTTCGCCCTAAAGGTACCAATATGGCGGAGGTGAGCAGGGAAACCGGGCAGGAGCGGCCGGGCTGGAGCGGGCGCCCGGCGGCCCCCCGCGGCCCCCGAGCCAGCCTGGGGGGTCCGGGGCCCTTCCCGCGGCCCCATGGGGGGCGGCGCGGCGGCGCGGGGGTCGCGGGGCGGCGACGGGCCGCGGCGGGGCCGGCCGGGGGGCGGGAGCGGGCGCGGGAGCGGTCTCCCTCCGAGACTAGGCCGCGGCGGCTCCGGCCCCGGCCGAGCCAGGCGACGGGGCCAGGCGGAGGCGGCGGCCGGCGGCAGCGAGCCCCTGCCCGGGGACGGGGCCGTGTCGTGGCCCCGGCCGCTGACGCCGGCCGCCAGCGCCTCCGCGCCGCCTCCCGGGGCCCGGGTGGGTGGAAACCGGCCGAGCCCCCCCTCCGTGGCTGGATTGCAAAGCGGGGAGCGGGCTGCGCCACTGCCCTGCGGGAGTGCTGCGCTGTGTCCCCGGCCCACCGGGCCCGGGCTGCGGCGCGAAGGAGCCGCACGCTCCACTTTGCGCCGGGCGCGGAGGCGAGCGGGATGCGCGGCCGCCGGGCTTCGCGGGAGAGGAGCGGGACTCCCCGCCCGCAGCCCGGGATGTGCGGGAGCCCCTGGGGTGAAGGAGCAGACCACGACCCTCGACGCCCTCTCCAGGAGAGTGGCTCGATAGCCCCAGTTTCCTCCGGGCTGGAGGAGGGAAGCTGGGCGAGCGAAGCTGCCCCGGCCATCTCCCCCGGGACTAGTGAACTGGGGGAGGGGGTGGCGCGGCCGTGCCCCTCGGCAGGAGCCGGCTGGGGCGAGGGGCGCGCTGGCGGGCCCGGGCGGGACTGAACACTCTGGAAGGAGCCACCATCCCTGGAACTGAGGGACCGCATCTCTGGACTCGGGAGAGACGATGGGGGGGCTTGCGCTTTCGCTTGGGGGCAAGTGTCCGATTTGAGCCGGCCTGCGCTCCAGGGCAGAGGACAGCGCCGGAGTTGGGGCTTCCAGGCCCCACGGGCCGGACTAGGTGCCCAGTGAGCAAGTTCCATCCGCGAAAGGGTGTTGCGTTGCAAGGAGTTGTTTGGGGCCGCGGAGGGCTGGGTGGGATTTGGGGGACTCCCGAGATGTTTGGGATAGGGGACTGATGCTGCGAGCCGACCGCTCTGGGTTTTGCTCCTGTGCTTTGTAACTTGCTGAGCTCTAGGAGACTTGGAGTTGCCTCTTAGACTCAGGGTTTCGTCCCGGGTCTGCGAGTTTGTACACTGGGGACTCCGGGAGGAAGGCGAGGCAGCCAAGAGGGGGCCCGAAAGGGGCCGGGAGCGACTGGAGCGAAGCTACGTCTTGCACTTTTGGCAGCTGCGGAGGAGCGCTCGACTCCGCCTCCTCTGCGCCCTGTTGCCGGCGCTGCCTCTTTCCTTGGCTGCGCGATCTAACCTCACGTTTCCTTCTCTCCCTTTCTCCTAGGCTTCTTTTGGAAGTTCAAGCCCAGGTTTGTCCTATTTTCTTACCTCTTTTGTGGGTCCAGAGGGTAATGCGGGCTCAAAGATCCATTGCTAAAGGATTCCCCACAAAAACTTATCTTGCAAGTTTTTCATCATCGGTTTTTAAGAGTTTCAATGTGCATTTGGTAATTAAGTTGTTCTAGGAAGGGACAGTTAGTTATACTATCTTTTTTTTCTTGCATGTTGAAAAAAATAACCCTGTTACAAAGCTGCTAAGACAACTGTTCTTCTAAGTAATGTCTTTAATTTTTACATGTATTGTTTTTTCCTCCAAGTCTGAAACAGTAAATCCCAAATCGACTTTCCACCAACTTTTAGCATCTTAGATTTTAATTTTGATTTCTTCGAGAGATTGAGTCTTTAATTTTTCAGAATTTTGGGACTGCTTAATTATTAACCATAATTCCCATCTCCCATTATTTTGTCTCATTTTTATAATTAAATGTCTATAGATTGTGTTAAAATTTAGAGTTAAGTAAAGCTGCCATAATAATAATATTAAAAAAAGAACATCCAAGTTTGGCTCTGAAAAGTGGTGATTTAGTATTTTTGATCTGAGACAACAACCATAGATCATCCTAGTACAGTGTTTCTTTAACCTTTTTGAGGTCAGAAACCCCTGTCAGAATCTGATGAAAGCAAGAGACTCTCTCCAGAATTCTGCACATGTGCATAATTACACAATTTGGGGTTTGTGGAACCCCTGAAGCAGATCTATGGTAAGGACCTTTCCTCATGTGCTTTGTTTCCATTTCTCATCCCCTTTCCACCTCCCCTCTTGGTTACCTCTTTTCCCTCTCATATTCTCCAGAAAAAGCACTTCTGTACTAGTCCAACTCCCTTATTTTACAGTTGAGGAGACTTAAATAATGCTACAGTTAATAGTGGAGCACAGATGAGCTCCCAGGTCTTCCATTAGAACATGTTTTAGAGTGAACGGTGCATTTCCTTGCAAAATTACTTTTTCTATTTATTCCGCCTTCAAGGTCTCACTGGATTATCATTTAAGGTATTGTAAAATACACCGAGTAAAAGAAATTTGTTGGTATTTTAAAAATAGCTGTCTACATCTTTACATTTAAAATTTGTTTTAAAAATTTTTGCTAATTTTGACATAAACATTTCTTTGTTATAACTAATTTCAGGAGCAGAATATTTATGTATGTGATGCCAAACATCTGGATGACAATGGAATTTTTCCGTTTTGCATCACTGACTTCTTTTAAGAAGTTGCAATCTTTTTTTTTTTTCTTTTAGACAGAGTCTTGCTTTGTCACCCAGAGTAGAGTGCAGTGGCATCATCATAGCTCACTATAGCCTCATACTCCTGGGCACAAGCTATCCTCCTGCCTCAGTCTCCCGAGTAGCTGGGACTGGGACTACAGGCATGTGACTCCTGGCTAATTTTTTTTTTCTATATTTAGTAGAGAGGGGGTCTCACTCTTGTGCAGGCTGGTCTTGAAGGGAAGTTGCAATCTTAAATAAAACACCAAAGACAGTGTGGTTTGGGTGTCTAAATGGACTTATAACCTGTTTTTATTCAGTTAGTTTTATAGGAGAATTTTAGAGTTGGAAGGGACTCTTGAGGTCCTTCAGCCACCCCTGTGTATTTTACAAATGGAAGACTGGAGCTAGACACAAAAAGTTTAAATAACTTGTTTTAGGTCACAGAAAGCCAAGAACAAAGCCAAGCCAGGAGTAGAACCTGAGGCCCTTCAATTTCTGGCGCTTTTGAATACCTTCCATATTAAAGGGGAAGCCTGTTGTGCCAAGTGACACAGGAATACCAAAAGAGGGCAGAATTTTGCTCCTATGAGATGGAAAAGTTAGCATCTATTTCATCCCTGCTGCTTTGGCACATTGTGGAGGTTTCCAGGAATTCCTCAAAGGAAGAAAATTTGTAATGGTAAATGTTCTGTTTTTGAGTTAGTTAATAAATATTCATCTTTCTCTTTAAAATTAAGTTAAACCATATGTAGTTCAGGTTTGTAAATGAGCAGATATTCTTCAACCTTTAAAGAAATAACATCATATAATATAAACCTAAAAAGTTAAGTCCCATAGAAATTGCATTATTTTTAGGATTAATGATTAGAGTTCTTGGAACTCAGAATCAAAAACATTGAATTATGCCTGTGGTTTTTCCATAGTGAAAAATCTTTGGCCTAGTTCAGTGTTCTGGTTATGATCTCACACTGTCCTTAAATGTTTGAAATTTTAAAATATTCAATAGCTTGCCTAAGAACAGATCAAACTTTTTATGTTGTATATGCTTTTATCCACTTTTTTCTTCCCCCACCAACATATTCTGATCCTTCTCTCCTTCCCTTTTCTAAGAGTCTGTTCTCATTGAATTAGATACTAGAGTAAAACAAATAGAGAAAAATCCTGTTTTTCATAAATTTGATTTCATTCTCTTAGGATTATGGATTTTAGTCATTTCTTCTGTTGGTTTTTGGTGTTTCCTATTGAATTCATATTTGGTATTAAGAAGTAATACAATTTATAAACAAGTATGAATTGACCAAAACACTTGCAATGGCTATATCTTCCCAAACCTTAAGTTATGATTGTCTGTATTCACCTCACATGATCCTAAGAACTTTATTAGTAATCCAAAGTAAAGTATAGTTTTACAGTTTAATGCTTGTCTGATTAATGCTGGGGAGCTTGAAATACTGTTATAGATATATATAAAGTGATATAGTGCTTTTAAAAAGTGAATTGTTGTATAGCTACTTCACAGAAACTTGTCTTTGTTTTATAAAACAGATTTCTGTTGTGTTTTGTGTATTTGAGGATAAGAATTTGGGTAAAATTTATACTCTCATCCGAAGCGTTAGCCTTAGTATATGGTAGATTCTTGTGAAGTCTTCCATTAATGGAAATTTAATCGTTTTGACTTTTTGCTATTGCTTTTATACAGATGTATTAAACTGATACGCAAGTTTGACTGTTTTTATATTAGAACATTTATTTAAGACCATGCATTTTAAATCACTTTGTTGCTATTATAACTTGTTTTCTCCTGGACTGGACCCATTATAAAAGTGGATTACTTTGCCTTATTCTTTTGCTGGTTCAGATATCTTTTCAGAATCATATAGTCTTACTTTATAACCTATAAAGTATATAGTAGATTCATTTAATAAAACTCACATATAAAACATTAAAAGGGACTGGCAGAAGAACACAAATTTTTATTTTCTTTTGTAAGTAGCCTTGTAAATTTGTAAAGTGATTGAGTTTGTTTCATTCCAGTTGGGTCTTTGTCTTCTGAGGATCATGATTTTGACCCCACTGCTGAGATGTTGGTCCATGACTATGATGATGAAAGAACTCTTGAAGAAGAAGAAATGATGGATGAGGGTAAAAACTTCAGTTCTGAAATTGAAGACTTAGAAAAGGTAAAGGATTTACTTTAGTATTTTAACACAAACTTGTCATAAAGATTTTGAAATTCTATTATAAATTATTTTATAATCTACCTGAAATAAAAATTGGATCAGTATATATATATATTTTTTGACCTAACTTTTATAGAATGTCACTGATTTTCTCATTGGGGGTGGGGGATAGCCTAATAAGTGCATTTTTATTTAATTTCTCAAAATTATTTTATAAAAACCTAATTTTTAAGCTTATATCAGCACAGTGAAGTAGGTACATCTGAGCATTTTGCAGATGAGAATATTGAGGTTTAGAGAACTGTAGGCCCTAGACTTAGTTCTAGATGCTAGTTTAGCCCTCTTTTCATTCTATCATACTATTCTGCTGAGGGTCAAACTTGAATTTAAGTACTACAGTAGATACAAAGAGAAGTCTTTTCCTTCAAATAACTGATGATCTGGTAGAATACTGTAAAAAAATTGAAAAAGAAAAAGGTTTACCATATTTTCAAATGTAAATTGGTAATGTCCCATTATAACCCCCAGTCATTGTTTAAAAAGTTAGCAAGAACGAGTGTAGCTTATAACTTTTTAAACCCAGAGTCAATATAAATTCAAATGAACTGTATTTTAAACACACATTTATACTAGGACTGTACAGAGAAATTTCTATAGGGATTTTTGGAAAAACTAAGATTATACTTATCTATAAATTAACCTTATTTGAAAATTTCTAATCAGCCCAGAATGACAGAAGCTTTTAGAAGTAATATTAAATAATACTAAACCTCTTGAGTTCTTATACCTTTTTCTTGAAGAAGAAAAAGCACATTCTTACATATATAATCTCTATTGCTTACTATCTTTGTAAGGCAGGAGTGGGTTATTATTCCATTTCTTTCTTCATGTTAATACACAGAGAAACAGCAGGCAGAGTCTTCAGGGCCTACATCCCCGGATGGGCCTACAACCCCAGGCTTTTTCCAGTAAACCTGAAATTTTCTATAAGTGTTCATTCATTTGCCAGTTGATCTAATACAATTGCAGTTAGATTTATTCACTTAAAAAAATCTGTAAAAGCCAAACAGATTTGGGAATATAAAACTAAAATTGTTATGAAATACTCAAGTGGTAGAAGAAGAAAAATCTTTTGCCTGTTGCTCTTTTCAGGACTGAAAATAAAATGTTGCCTGTTGATGAGAAAAGATGCCGGAGAGTCTTGAGCTCTATCTTGGCTTTATGCACGCAATTCCTTCCTACTTCTGAGTAGTTACCCTAGAATAACTGAGAATTATAGTCCATTTAACATTATCACTAAGCCAAGGACTATGTAGGTCTGGAATTGCAAAAATGAGCAATTTGACAATGTCCCTGAACTCAAGGAACTTACAGTCTAATATAGGGTGACAAATGGGAACAAAGATTTTTTTGTAGATATTAAGGACTATGAAAGAGCTAAGCAATGAGAGCTGTGGCAGAAAGGTTATGTATATTTACTAAAAGATGTTTAGCCTGGTGTGGGAGTTCAGGGAAGGCTTCTTAAAATAGACAGTACTTCTTTTTTGTAGTTTTAAGTCAGGACACTGCTTGTAGGCATGTTATATGGGCATGAGGCAAAAGTCCCAGGTGGCTTAACAATGCGCCGTCCTGGGTAAAGTGTTTGTTGTTAAAGGTAGAGAGACAGCAGTCTAGTCACAACAAGATACAAGAAAATGTTTGATAGAAGTGTCAGATGCATTTTAGCCATTTGTCAGTAAAATAAGAACTAAACTTCATTTAATGTGTTAACTTAGTTATTGCTTGATTGCTTGTAATCTGGTAGAGATTTTTATGTGCTAGTAAAATTTTATTTTTCAGATTTGTAGGCTTTGTTTTTCCAGAAATTGTAATAATAGCTGCTTTGATATGCGTTTAGTGAGTTTTAAAAGGAACTTGAGGAAGATGTAGAGAAATAATCAACAACAGCGTAACTAACTTAGCTATTGACAGAAATACCTAGTCCCTATTCCTATGATTTTCATTTTGTTTAGTGAACTCTAGTAATTAAATCTTTTCTTTGTAATATCTGTCACTGAATTTGTAGATTCAGAAAAATTATAGGCCCTTAAGTGTTTCAACTTTTCTGTACTTGGACAGTTTTTCTTCCTGGCATTTTATCACACTCTTGGAAATTGGGACAGAAAAATACAAATTCTGCAGAAGACCCAGGAGCTGTGTCCTCATTCCAAAGGCTAATCCTTCTCTCACTGAGCAGTGGACAAGAGGAGTTATTTCTAAGAGCGACTGACTACCCACTTCCTTTGATCTATGGTTCTGATCTGTAGTAAAGAATAATTGTGTAGATGTGATCTCTATTCTTTATTGATGTTTAATAAAACATGAAAATGAATAAAAGAAACAGTAATTAGAGACACAAATATCCTTACAAAGAGTAAGGATAAAATCTTTAAAAGAAATTTTAAATTATGTTTTTATTATTTCTATATAATTTACAATAATGTAGTCTATTATTTTATTATTGGAACAATGATTTAGGTATTGATACATATTAACAGTCTTAGGAACTTGATGTTAATGTTTATTTTCAAAAATTATAATTAAGTTTTTATGCTCTTAGTCAATAAACTCAGTTGTTTGTTGACTGTAAACATGGCTTGTATTTTGGCATGTACAAATTTTCAATACATAATGTATTATGGAAAATAATAAGAGAGATACAAAATCAGTTTTGTTATAGTATCTCTTTGGTGAGCATAGAGTACAAATTAAGTGACTAGATTTTAGTTGTTAAACATACAAAAGTATGGCTTATATTAAAGTTCTTATTTCTGCTTTTATTAATATATAGGTATGTCCCCTGGTGTTCATTGTGAGAAAATTCTAAAAATTCAGAAAAACATAAATAAATGAGAAAATAGGAAATCACTTTTTCTATCACTGAGACTTTAGTATAGGTCCTTCCTTTTTTTCTTTTTAAAGCATTTATACAAATTATGTGTATATTTTGTAAATTGCACTTTAAGGTATCAGACAGGTGTTATATTGGTTACTAACATTGATCTGCACCTCACTTAGTCTCATTTGACCCACTCAGCAATGCTATTGGGTGTGTTAGACAAGAATTGGTGTTATTTCCTTGGCTCAGAGGACTTGCTGATTATAAGATGTACCATTGATAACATATCATAGATGGGGTCAGGGAGAAACACTGCTACCGTGTTTCCCCGAAAATAAGACCTACCCATAAAGTAAGCCCTAGCAGGATTTCTAAGCATTTGCACAATATAAGCCCTACCCCCAAAATAAGACCTAGTGATGGGCGTGGCTACATAGCATATCTGCACAACCCATGCATTTTGTTGCAGAGCGGTAAAGAAGATGTGCAGCCCTTCTCATCTGCCCCATGAGAGCTCTATTGCTCAACATGACCGATTGGGGCCAATGGTTCTAAAGGAAATAGAGTCACAAATTCAGGATGGAATTCGGGGTTTGGAGAGTTAAGATGATGTTCCAGAAGAAGACGACTTAACTATATTTGAATAAATGTATATTGTTGTACTGTACTTAAAAAAAATAACACATCCCCTGAAAATAAGCCCTAGGGTGTCTTCTTGAGGAAAAATAAATATAAGACTCTGTCTTATTTTCGGGGAAACACAGTATGTGAAACTTGTACGTTGGTGATGGGATGCATCCTGATTCAGATACCTGAGAGTGTGCCTCATAGGATCAAGGAAATAATTGTATTTTCCTTTCTACTAATGAGGAAATGGAGTGGAGAGGAGTTAGGTGATTTGCCCAAGGTAACCGTTAGCAAGTAGTCGGTTCCCTGCCCTGAATCTTGTATTCTTCCTAATACAAACCCTTTGACTTAGAGAATAGTTCGTTTATAAGTGTGAGTAGACCCAGCTGTGTCCCTTTAAATTTAAATAGGCTCCACAGAATACCCTAGAAAAAGATAGAAAAGTTCTTACACCTGGAATAAGGTGCTGATCAAACTTTTAAGCTGATCTGGCCACCATGGATCTTAAGAGACTTCAAGACTTACTAATTCCATTTTGAAAAAATTGTTTTTATGCTTCAAAGGACTAAGTGCTTTATTAGTAGGCTCTAATAGAGAGCTCATTTGGAATGTGCTTCAGAGACTGGATTCACCTTTTCCAGTTTCGCTTAAGAAGTTCCAGTACAGATAATTTGTGCTTAAGCACCAGCCCATTGATCACCATTATCATCACTTGAATTTACTAATGAGGGTTCCACTAAGATGGTCACCTTTGCCCTCAACAGATGATCATGCCTGTGTCTTTATAGAAAAGTAGGGGTTTTCGCGTGACTACAGGGAATTTCCTGTTCCCCTCCCTCAACAAACTTAACTTCTATTCCTCCCTCCTGTCCCTAAAGTGTCTGCCACATCCCAGGGTAACCCCTCGATTCCATCTCTTCTGCCTTTAGTTTATTCTACTTTTTTGTTGTTTCCAAATGGAATCCTATTCTCCTGGTCTGCACATTTGGAAGAAAGTCTCTTGACCCTGTGTTGCCCTTAGTCATTTTCCTTCTATAGCCAAGTCTCAGATATGTGTGTACGTTCTCCCCTGCCACTCAGTCCTTAGCTTGGCTTTATCCATCATGCTGTGGGATTGCCAATAATTCCCAATTGCCAGATATGAAAGAATTCTTCTCTCCCTTGATTTCTCCTTGGTATTTGACCCAAGTGACCATTCCTAGTTTCTCCATACTTGCTTCTGCCTTAATTTACATAATCGTGCTTTCTCCTGGTTCTAATTCTACTCTCTAGGTTCTCCCTCTGTCTTATTTATGGGCTTTTCTTTCTTTGCCTGCATTTTAATTGATGATGTTCTTCAGGGTTTTGGCTTTTGCCTTTTCACTCTAGATGCCTTTTCTGTGTGATATCACTCAAGCCCACTGTTTCAGCTTTCACCTTAAACTCATCATTGTCACCCTGCCCTCAAGTTTGTCTTCTTGTATGTCTATCTCATGGTGTGCTATGGCTAGCTAACTTCTCAGGTCAGAAATCTGGCAGTCCATTTAGACCTCTGAAACAGATCTTTTCCCTAAATTTCGCTCAAATAATTCCCTTCCTTAGTTAAGGCTCTCATTCTTCTACTTCCCCATGACCATTATTTTTAAAATGCAAATCGTATTTAAGATTTTTCAGTCATACCTCATTGTCCATAGGGGGCAATATATCTGAAATATGTCTGCCCATATATGTGAAAGTTCTTCTAATAAAGCATAGATCCCCTCTCTTTTCTCTCTACCCTCTTCGTGGGTGAGCTCATCAGCTCCTGTGGCTTTAAATATCATCTAGATGCTAATGAATGCCAGATTTATATCTTTAGCCCAGCCTGATTCTCTGAGCTCCAGGCTCCTGGCCAACTTGACTTTTCTACTTGGATGTTTCATAGTCTTCTCAAACTTAACTGTGTCCTTTGCCGAACTCTTTAATTTTTTTCCTTCGAAAACCTTTTCTTCCTTTAGTCTTTTCTAGATCAGGAAAAGTTAGCACCATCTAATTGCTTGAATAGAAATCTAGGAGTCGTCCTTCCCTCCCTTTCACTCCCACATCTAGTAACCCATTTGAATCCGCCTCAGAATGTATCTTTTCTGTTCACTTCTCTCCTTGTCTGTGTCACTACCTTAACCCAGCATGAGGCCCCTTAAGTGGTCTCCCTGCTTCTCTCGTATCTCTTCATCTCTACCCGACTTTTCTTCATGCAGCTGTCCAGCACTTTAAGAAGAAATAACTGTTGTTCCCATTTTATAATTCTCCAATGGCTTCCCACTGCCCTGGGAATAAAGTCTAAGTTCCTTTCCCTGGCCACGAGGCCCTTTGTGATCTGTCCCTGCCTCTGTTTCCATTCTCCTCTTGAGCCACTTTTCACTCTGCTCACCAAGCTGTGGCCACTTGGCATACTGGGAAGCCACCTTCAGGCCTCCTGTGTGTTGTTTCATTGGCCTGGAATGCCCTTCATGGGACTGGCCACATAGACTTCAAGCCTCTGCTGAAGATAATTTACTGTCTTTCCTTGCTCCCCTGTGAAATCAGGCCCCCAGTGTTACTGTGTATCTCAGGATCTTCATATTTGTTTCCTTTGGTACTCATCAAAATTGACAGTGCTATGTTTGTGTTTTGTCAACAGCCTTGTCATCTTCCCAGACTTAGCTCAATCTTTGCTCTGTCTGTACCTCCCTGCCCCATACCACTATTCTTGGGGTGTAGGTCTTCTGTATAGTCACAAATTCATAGCACCAATTCCAGAACTGAGTATTGTAGCTGTCACATTGTATTATAATTGTTAACTTACCAGTTTCTCCAACTAAGACTGAATTCCTTGTTAGTAGGGATTTTTCTATAAATGTTATTTCTATATCCATAGCGAGTAGTCCTCAGCAAAGTACCCGGAACCCAGTAAATGATGAGAAGGTGGACCATCAATGAGTAAGAAGTGAGAATTTCCATCTCCTCAGTTCAGGGAGAGAATCTGAAACTGAGGTTTTTGAGAAATACTACTGACAGGTGGTTGGCAAAGGCTTCCGTCTAGTCATTTGTATTGTACCCAACATGAGCCAAAGGGAATGGGCTGCGTGGACTCTGCAAGGAGCAAGATAGGGCCGCAGAGAGACTCTAAGTCTGATTCTGGTCACCTCCAAGGGATTCTTTGGTTTAGGAGAAGAATAATTCACGGCAAGGGTGAACCTCTGACTGTTCTGACAGTCCAAGTCAATTTGTGCTGACTCCATGCTCCCAAAGCAATTTTTTATTGATTTCAATCCCAAGCTGAAAGGATTCAGGAATGAGATGATTGTTACAGTCATTAGAAAAGCATATGTCTACTACTGCAAATTTATAAATTAGCATTCTGTTGTATACTTTATTCTAAATTTCATTTAGCATGAATCTGTTTCAATCAGATACAATGAAATATGTGTAAGTTCCACATCTGCAAAGGTGAAGGCCAGATTTTTGAGGGCTCCCGTAGCCTGCATCCCCTGTGGGCAGCCAGCTGGCTCTCTAGGAATCATCACTACCTCCTCTCGGTTCACTGTGTGATCAGCTGTGGGCATGTTCTTCACACTCTACTCTAGCATTTTTATGCTGTTTGCTTCCCGACTTAGGTAATTTGGCTTAAAGAGAAAACTAAACCAATAAGCAAACTTTAAAAATGAATCTCTTAGTTGATAGACACAAACATCTTAAAAATACTTAACAAATTAACTAGTTCCTAGCATACTGTTTTGAAATTGTTTGTTTGAATGATAATTATAAATAGTTCTGTACACTTTAGTAGTTAAAATATAGTCATGGGTCCCTTAATGATGGGGGTACATTCTGAGAAATGCATCGCTGTTTTGTCATTGTGTATACTTCATGGAGTATATTTACACAAACTTAGTTGGTATAGCCTATTACACATCTAGGCTATAATGGCACAGCCTGCTGTTCCTCCTTCAGTCCATCTTTGATGGAAACATTGTTATATAGCACATGACTCTATTTAAAAGGAAAGATAGAACTTATTTTCATGGAGATTAGTGGGAGGAAAACAGTGACTGCGTGTCTCTATGGGGCATGGCATAGGTATTCATAACATAGGCTGCACTAGAACCAGAGTATGTAATTTTATCAAAGCACCATCCAGTAAAAGAACTTGGGGGACTGGGATTGAAACCCAGAGCTAGACCTCAGTTTTCTTACCTGTAAGATGGTGATGATGATAATACGATCATCATCAGACAGTTGTTTTAAAAAAAAAAATCTGGAATAAAATGTCATATACAGTAGTAAGAATATAAAAGGATAATTGTGCTTTGAACACTCATAATTAAATGTTGCTGGTGTTAGTAAATGTTCAGGAAAGGTTTCCTATCAGGTATCTACTAATTAACATGAAGAATAAACCAAGTGGTCAACTGTTAAGTGCAAGGAAACAAACTGTAAATTACATGAAGTTATTGATTGATTAATTGGAAATATTTTCAAGGCAAATTTTTATACTTGTGTGAAAGCTAACAAAAAGGTCTACACTAAAGTAAATATTTGGGGAATTTATTTTTTAAAAGTAAAATGCTGGAAAATGAAAACTAAAATGTTAATTGTTAGGCTTTTATTAATATATTGGTTATAGCTCTAGGTGTTTGGTCTATTTTCTAACAACAGTATAAAAGAAAAACTGAAACTTAGCTTTGATTCGTTCTGCTGTTTTGATAATGTGCTTTATGAACTTAAGGACATCACACAGTTTACCCGTGGTTCAATATTGTGATGCCTACTGAGTTCATGTTTGTCTCCTGGCTTGAATAGGAAGGAAACATGCCTCTAGAAGATTTATTGGCATTCTATGGCTATGAACCTACAATTCCAGCGGTTGCAAATTCCAGTGCAAATAGTTCCCCAAGTGAACTGGCAGATGAACTACCAGACATGACACTAGACAAAGTAAGTACAGGCATTTAAAAGAAAAATTCAGAACCTATTACCATTGACTGTTTTTATTAGAATTTCTTTTGTTTAAAACATTTTATAATTCTGAAATGTAAACTTCTTGTTGACCCATTGCTCTTATCATTTTGGTGACTGATTTAAACATTGGCTTTGATCACATTATTTTAAAAGTAGTAGTAGCTTCATGATACTTGCATGCCTGAATATTCTCCCATCATTTTTTCATCTTTCCTGTGTAGACACATTGTATCTAAACTTAGATTTTGCCTTAACTTCTTTTTATCCTGTAAACACATGAAAGCATTGATTAATAAATCCCCCAGAAGCCTTCAAACCAAGCTGGCTTAGGCGTGGAGTGGTTGGAGAGAAGTTCTGTTTTCTTGGCTCTGGGAGTGACAGCGGCTGCAGCAGCCAAGGCCACGGTGATCCATCTCTAACATAGGCTGGTTGTGGGGAGGCCTTGTCCCTGCTGAGGAAAATTCTCACAGCCACAGTCTCTGCTAACAGATCCCTGGAAACCTTTCCTTCCCTTTCAGATCTGAGGCAGGGAGAGGAATCCACATCTTGGAACCTCTTTTTGTGAGTTATGTTGTTCCCACTTTTTAGTCAATATGATATTAATGTACCACAGACCGTAATGACTATAGTCATTCAAGTATTTATTGAGTGCCTACTATGTACCAGACACAAGGATGACTATACATTTACATAAAAATTAATTCAAACATGCTGCTTTTAAAGATATGTCACTAGTCAGAGCTGTTCATTGGTTGGACTTTTTAAATTGTTGGAGGAGTGGAGTTTGGAGGCATTTTTTCAGTTTTATTTATTATTGGCAGAAAGTGAGTATTGTTAACCACTTAGAAGTCAGATTATTTTTGTTATAAATTTAGTAAAAATTAGCCTACAGCTTTAGGAAAACTCTGCATACCCTAAAATTAGGCAATTGTTTAAATGTATAGTTGTACTTATTATTATTTACTAGTATATTATTAAATGTTACCTATAATTAAATATTAAATGTCATTAAATATTTGTGTACATGAAGTAAATTAATAGGAGAATTTTGCAGTTACTTCTCCTAAAACTAAGGGAGCTTCAGCTAGTTCTTAATTGTATTGTGTGTTATAAAAAGACATTTTTCTTAATTGATGAGATGTAATCATTTCTAACTCCGGCACTGCCTTCCTATTCTTCCAGGAGGAAATAGCAAAAGACTTGTTGTCAGGTGATGATGAAGAAACTCAGTCTTCTGCTGATGATCTGACACCATCTGTGACTTCCCATGAGACTTCCGATTTCTTCCCTAGGCCTTTACGATGTAAGAAACCCAGTTATTACTGATTAATAGCAGCATTGATAATATGTGTTAAGTACTTTATTTTAGAGTATTCTAAGTGTTTTATATAGTTGAGATAAAATACTATTATAATTTATGTTGAACAAGATTATAGCCTTTTTATTGTGTTAGAGGTGAACTAATATACCATTTAAAAATTGAACCATACACTTAGTTTTGCAAGGCTGTTTTCTTTTCCAAGAATCTTTTGTTGATATGGTAACCAGTCTTAGTTGATCATGAAATTTTGTAGACATTTTTTGGGATTTCTTTTAAAATGCTCTTGCTCTCCTGGTTTTGAAAATTTATCGATGCTCAAAAAATATTTTTAATGATTCATTTAATTCTTTTTTTTCCTATTCTTGGTATTACCTTTTAATGTTTATCAGTAATACTAAAAAGGCTTTGGACTGAAATAATTTATTTTGTGCAATCTCGCTTATTTTTTGTGAGGTATTTTTAACGTAGAAGAACCATTTTACATGTTCAAATACACACGCACTTGTGTGTGTGCAGTCCATTTTGATGGACTTAATGTGCAGCTGCTGAGTATATGTCTTTCTCGATTAGTGTAATCAGAACTCCGGTGCTTTACTTTCTTTTTAAGGTGACCATAATGGTTTCCTTTTAACTTCCAAACAATTTAACAGTACACAATAGTAATTATAAGGATACTATATACTTTATTAGAGCTTTTAGAGTCTTGTTTTGACTAATGTCAATTGCAAGAATAGTGCAGGAGGTTTAGTATATTTATGCTGATCTCATTTATTCCACAAGTTTTTATAAAATATTAAATAATAGGCATTCTCCCAGGTGCTACAAAAATAAGCAGTAAAAACCTTTTTAATTTTCTTCTTTTAAGCAAATACTACATGTGATGGTGATAAGGAATCAGAAGTTGAAGATGTTGAAACAGACAGTGGTAACTCTCCTGAAGATTTGAGAAAAGTAAGTTGAGTTACCATGATAATTTAGTAGACCATTTGGACTAAAGTGGCCTTTAAAAACATTTCTGAAATGATTTATGATAATTTTTGTTGTTATAAGATAAAGTTTCTTTTGACTTTTAAAACCTGATTAATGAGTTTGGGACCTTTGTTTCAGTATTTATTTTTATAAGAAGTTATTTTTACTTCTCAATTTTCCTGTAGGAAATAATGATTGGTTTACAATATCAGGCAGAGATTCCCCCGTATCTTGGAGAATACGATGGTAGTGAAAAAGGTAAGGAAAACTTTTGATTTTGATGTTTGGTAGACCAAAGATATCACTTAGAATGGTTATTTAAAAATCTGATAATATACCAACCTTGACAATATAAAGATAGATTTGGGGTCAGGGAAATTTCCAGAGTCAGAATATTTAGGCCTGACTTAGGAAAAATGTGTCAAAATTAATCATGAGACTCAGACTCCATGAGACTTGTTGTAAGAGCTCCCTAACACATACACACACAGACACACACACACAGACACACACACACACACACAGCTGTTTCTTAGCCAGCGTGCTCAGTGCCTATTAAAATAGTGGAAAGCCTTCTAAGGTATAATATCTTGGCCTACATCCTGCTTTAATAAAAGAAGGTAGAATTTCCTCCCTGAGATAATGAGAATGTTAAGGATATAATCCTGTGGAAAGAAAACTTTTGAGGGAAAAAGAGACTAGAAGAAATTCTCCTGCCCCCACCCTCAAATAGCAGGAGGTGGAATGAAAGGGTTCTGTTGCTTTTGCTGTACACCCCTGCTTATGTGTAATTAGTTTTTCTTCACATTTTTGGTAGATTCCAACTATAGTTGGTTCTGATAGTATGGAGGGGATAAAGTTGTGGGAAGTAAAAATACAGGTACACTTTCTTAGCTGAACTCAGGAACCAAGTACATTTGGAATATTTCCATAGGCATTTGGCCTTTTCCAAATTGATTTCCAAGTTGATTTGTCCCTGGGCAAAAGCAGCAGAGCCAGCACAACACTTCCTGAGTCCGTCTGTCTTCTTTTTTTTTTTGAGACAAAAGTCTCACTCTGTTGCCCGGACTAGAGTGCCGTGGCGTCAGCCTACCTCACAGCAACCTCAAACTCTTAGGCTCAAGCAATCCTCCTGCCTCAGCCTCCCAGGTAGCTGGGACTACAGGCATGTGCTACCATGCCCAGCTAATTTTTTCTATATATTTTTAGTTGTCCAGCTAATTTCTTTCTCTATTTTTAGTAGAGGGGATGTCTCACTCTTGCTCAGGCTGGTCTCAAACTCCTGAGCTCAAGCAATCCACTTGCCTCGGCCTTCCAGAGTGCTAGGATTACAGGCATGAGCCACCGTACCCAGCCCATCTTTCTTTCTTCTATACCAGGTCATCCCCCGTTTAAAGGAGGGGAGGACTGGCTACCCTGGGGTTGTTAGCCTTGGCAGCCACTAGCAATGCTGTCTTCCTAAAACTGCTTTCAAAGTGGTAGAAGCCAGTTGTCCCGGAGGAAGCAAACAATAGCTGATGGTCTTCAGATGTGGCAGCCTCACACACACACACACATCCTACCCAAATGCCACACACCCTTGAAGCCAAGTACATGCTCAGCAGCTGCAGGTCTGTAGGGCAGACATAATGGAGGTAATCTCTCAGTTCTACAAATCAAAGGAGAAGGTATATATATTATTCTCTGTCTTTTGAGGGAATAAACCCAAACTGTTTTACCTATTTTCAGTTGTGACCAGAATAAAGAAAGTTCCAGGAACTTCTCTAAAAAGGCAGTCTTATTACTTCACAGGCACACTTTAGTTTTAACTTTCCTGCTGAGTATAATGCCTGCCTTATTAATTTGTGAGCTTAATGCACTTATCACAGTCCCTGGTATATGGTCTCCATAAATTTGTGTTAGCTGTATTTAGTGTTTATTATGCACTTGAAGAATGGATTGCACTTGAAGCACTGGGCTAAATACTTGGGCCATCTATATTACTTTATTATGTAAAATAGAAGCTTTGAGTAAAGTGGTAGAGTACATTAGTATAAACTTGTACAAAATATAAACTTGTAGTGACATTTTGTTCATTAATATCAGTGTTTTTAAGAGACTGTGGAAAGTTTACTTCTCCCAACTATTTGCCCTTGTTTTCAAAAATCTCCCTAGGGATGTTCAATTAATCTGCTTCGTCCTTTAAATAAAAATACTCTTATTGAGAGGATGTTAGTAAAGGAAAAGTATGCCTTTCTTAGATACTTCATTATTACCAGATAGTTTGTCTTTTATGTGGTTTTGTTTGTTTATTTTATTTGCAATTTTTAACCTCTAGAGATTTCATAGAGCTGTTTAGGGAATTCAAGAGAAAATTCTAATGAGGTTATTAGAGAATTTACACAGATTATTCATCAGAAGAGTATAAGATACCAATAGGGGGGTTTCCATTAGATTTTACTAGGTATGGAAAGCCTTCTAATCCATAAATCTGACCACCAAAAAAGCCACTTGTTCTAGCCACCAGAACCCTTGGCTTATAATAAAATTTAAAAAAGGTTCTTAAACTAGTGAAAGGCTCAACTTGCCAGATAATCAAATTACTGGTATCCTCAAAATTGCTTACCTGTCCCAGTGTAATAGCCTATCAAGAGGACAAAGAACTGTGTACATCTTTGAGTGTGTTCACTATTTTTAATGTGCTAATGGAATTTTCTTCATCAGTGTATGAAAATGAAGACCAGTTACTTTGGCGTCCTGATGTGGTTTTGGAGAGCAAAGTTAAGGAGTACCTTGTTGAGACCTCATTAAGAACTGGAAATGAAAAAATAATGGATAGGATTTCTGCAGGAACGCATACAAGGGACAATGAACAGGTATACTTCAACTACTTTTGTTGAAACAGCAGCCGACTTAAAATACCTTCTTGGTTTCTTTTTTTTTTTTTTTTTTTTTGAGACAGAGTCTCGCTTTGTTGCCCAGGCTAGAGTGAGTGCCATGGCATCAGCCTAGCTCACAGCAACCTCAAACTCTTAGGCTCAAGCAATCCTCCTGCCTCAGCCTCCCAGGTAGCTGGGACTACAGGCATGCGCCACCATGCTCAGCTAATTTTTTCTATATGCTTTTAGTTGTCCAGCTAATTTCTTTCTCTATTTTTAGTAGAGGGGATGGCTCACTCTTGCTCAGGCTGGTCTCAAACTCCTGAGCTCAAGCAATCCACTTGCCTCGGCCTTCCAAGAGCTAGGATTACAGGCGTGAGCCACAGCGCCTGGCCACCTTCTTGGTTTCTTAAGTTTGATTTAAATATTTCTTACATGTGAATTGGATATTTTTTCTGACAGATTTTTAAAATTTGCAAAATACTGGTTTAAAAAAACATAATCTCAAATCCTAGAGGTAGCCATTTTACATAGTTTCATGTCTTTTGGTCTTTTTTCTATACGGATATACATATCTTTAGATAACATTTTATATCCTTTTAATCACCTAATCGTATTTTCCTTTGCCATTGAGAAGTCTTTAGTACCTCATTCTTGATGACTATATTTTTTCTTTTTTTTTTGAGACAGAGTCTTGCTTTGTTGCCCAGGCTAGAGTGAGTGCCATGGCATCAGCCTAGCTCACAGCAACCTCAAACTCCTGGACTCAAGCAATCCTACTGCCTCAGCCTCCTGAGTAGCTGGGACTACAGGCATGCACCACCATGCCCGGCTAATTTTTTCTATATATATTAGTTGGCCAATTAATTTCTTTCTATTTATAGTAGAAACGGGGTCTCTCTCTTGCTCAGGCTGGTTTTAAACTCCTGACCTTGAGCAATCCGCCCGCCTCGGCCTCCCAGAGTGCTAGGATTACAGGCGTGAGCCACCGCGCCCAGCCTATATTTTTTCTTAGACTTGTAATTACTTCTTTAAACATGCTCTGTGGTTGGACTTTTAGATTTTATGATAAATATATTCTTTGAATTATTCTTGAACTTCAGTCAGGAAGTGATTAAGGTGGTGTCTATTAAGACAGTATGGATTTGATGTAGGAGCATTTGCTAAGCACTCGTGTACCTGGAGATGCAGAACAGTCTCCTGATCACCCTAGTTTTGCCCCTCTGACATAATTTTGCCCCTCTCATATACCTTTTTCACTCTGTATCCCAAATCTATGTGATCCTGACTAATGAATACCCAGAGATAGGTAGACTCAAACTTGAATTCCCAAATAACAGAGAGAAATCATATTAGTTGAACTTCAAAGTAGTTTTATTAGCTGTCAAAAAGAAATCCCAGGGTTTTTTTTGTATTGATATTTCATTAAGTCTATAAATTAATTTTGGAAAAATTAGTACTTTTACAACATTAAACCTTTCTACTTCAAGAACATTATCTGACTCAATTTATTTGACTTTTTAATATCACTCAAATGTTTTTGTTTTGTTTTTTTGAACATCACATACATCTTATTAACCTAATTCATTTTGTGTGTGTATTTAATGCTATTGTAAAGGGCATCTCTATTATATTTATAATTGTATATTGATGTAGAAAAATAGCAATTTTTAAAAAATTTCATTTTAAGCTATTAAAACTTTGATTTTTCAGTTTCTCAGGTTTTCTACTTTTTAAAAATTTATTAATATTTTTGTTTTATACATCATAATTATATACATTTATGAGCTGGGGTGGTTTTCTGGCTTTAAAGTCATTATTAAGTTATACTTTTGTTCTTTACTCTTATTCCTGTGTCTCTCAGAGACATTTGGTATTAATAGTGATTTTGAGTCTGATTTTGGTAGAAGTAATAAATCTAAGGTTATTACATTAAGGATAATACTGACTCTTAGTCAATATAGGCTATCTTTAGTATAGCAAGGTAGTATCCACTATTTATAACTATTATAGTTTTTGTCTTTTTAGTTGGAAATAGATATTGATTTGTCAGTTGCTTTTTCAGTAGCTGTTGAGTTTTTTTAATTGACATACTTATACATATTTATGAGGTACATCATGATATTTCAGTACATATAATGTGTAGTGAGTGATCAGATCAAGGTAATTAGCATAGAGATAATTGTTTTTTAGTGTAGCCTGTTCATATATTAAAAGTTTTTCTACAAAAAAAAAGTTTTTCTAATAATAAACTATCCTCACCTTCCTTGAAACTTACTTATGAAGGTAGATTATTTAGCTTTTGATTGAATTTTGTTATTGCTATTTGTTATGTTCATAATTACAAACAGCTTTCATGGGAAGAAATTATAATTGAAAAAAATGATACCTTTTATAGTAGATAGAAATAGCTGAGACCATTATAAACCCAGTCACTGAAGTACCAGTGCTACCATTCTAGGCCTGCTTCATTCCCTTTTATTAAAACTCTAAAAGATAGGGAGAAGATGACATCAAGAGACAAGCCATAGTTCTATTTTTCCCAACTAGAAAAAGTCATCTAAATTAGGAGTATGTCTCACCTCAGAAGGCCTAGCAATTAGAAGAAAAAAGAGTCAAGAATGATACAGGTAGGTGTCTTCTGAGAATTAGAGTAAGAATGAACAAACTGAAGTAGTACCAGAGTCAGTCTGCAGGGTAGTTATAGAAACTAAATGCCTGAAATTAGGCAGCATTTCAGCCAGTATTTGTCAAGACTCTACCTGTTTTTTTTAAATGTTGTTAGGTATCAACTTATAGCAATTTTTACTGGATGTTTTATTCCCTCTCTCTCTCCTAGGCGTTATATGAACTTCTCAAGTGTAACCACAATATAAAGGAAGCAATTGAAAGGTACTGCTGCAATGGAAAAGCATCTCAAGGTAAGAAAGAAATACTTAAGTTCAAGAGAGAAATGACAAAGGATGGTTATTTCAATATTTAAGCAAAATATTGTAAGGAACAGAGCAATTCTGTAACATTTTTATAAGATCTGTGTTCTTCATAGCAAATAATTTTTCCTTTTCTTGCCGTCTATTTTTCAACGTACCAGAGATCGTGCAAATACAAATTAGTTGCACCCCTGTTGCCTCTACTGTCTTGAAGAAATAGTTACAGAGCAAAGCAGACCCCAGAGATGGCAATAATCCAAAGTAATTAAAAAGAATGGTTTTATAATTCATTGAAAAAAAAGTGTTTTTTTTTTTTTTAAACCAGACAGGAAATGAAAAGGAGATCAAGGATTTTAAAAAGTTTCATGTATAATATATTCCATTCAATTTATTGCAAGAAATGTATTTTTAGTAATCATGTAATAACACTTTTACAGTGCTTAGGTTTTGTTTTGTGTGTCAAGGAAAATAGTTAACTTTTATTTCAATATTTTTTGTCATTGTATAAATGGATTGCATGTACCATAGCTTTCATTAAGTAGATACAGACTGAAAATAATACTTAGTAATATTATATAAATCGCTTGGAAAATATAAAAGCTGAAAATAGTATACTTAATCATGTACATTGAGTTAGTCTATTGAAATATTTCCCTTGTAAAAACTGCTTCCTTGAAAAAATTATTTTAAGCTCTCAAAACTCTCAAAAACTAAATACTGGTTTCTTCTTCAAATAATGTTTTCACTTTTATTGTGGATTATTAATGGCTTTGGGGACCTGATCCCTAGTATCATTGAGCGAGACACATCAGAGATAAAGGGGAATAATAAGTGAACTCTTAAGTCTAGCCTGGGACCCTGTGAATACCTTCTAGGTCTCTACCCCAAGTAGATTTTGAATTTGCCAACATTAACATCTGCTGGGAAGTTGAATGGGATTTAGTGTTTCTAGAGCATGGACTGTTTCTTATTCCCTTTATATTTCCAGAGTGTGGTACTCAGACTTTAAATAAGTATGTGTTGAGTATACTTTATTTATGGCCTCTAATTAAAGAACTTAATGGTTTTGATGTAAGACCAAAATAGAGCTTTTTCCCCCATAAGTAAATAGCTCTTTTTCTAATTTTAAAATAGTATATGCTTATTGTAAAACATTTCTTTTAAAATCAGAAAAACAAGCATAAATTAAAGAAAATCATTAATTTCTTATCTTACAACACAGAGGAAAAAAGCCAATGTTTGTATTTTTGTATTCTAGGCTTATTGATAAGATTTAGAATATGCATACTTTTGGTGATCCTAACAGAAATCTCTTATATACAGAATTTGTGTGTGTGTGTGTGTGAGAGAGAGAGAGAGAGAGAGTGTGTGTGTGTGTGTGTTTATGGCCTTTTACAGGGGAAACATTGAAAATAAATCAGTGATTCTCATAAAAGAGGACATTCTGAGGACAATGAATTTTATTTTAAATTATTTTTTAGAAGGAATGACTGCATGGACAGAAGAAGAATGCCGAAGCTTTGAACATGCACTCATGCTTTTTGGAAAAGATTTTCATCTTATACAGAAGAATAAGGTAAGTTAAGCAAATTATAGAAATTGCTTACTAATTACAATGAATGTGAGCAACTAATTTGTAAGTCACTTGAGTAGGAAAAATAGCAATAACTTGTCAGTATTCCCCATAACATCTCATATATCACTATAAACATAACTGGAATTTGCACACAGGTGGCACAGGCTGCTTATGGGATGACTGAGAGTATATTCATATATCTTTTCATATAAACAGTTATAATATTCTACTCAAAGAAAATGGATTCATGATATTTTTCAGGAAGGTTCTTACTTTTTTACATTTTTCCTTGATTTTCATTTCTTTCCAAGCTATTCAGAGGTTTATGGCTTCAAAATTTCTTATCAGCAATAAAAACTGCAATTCCTGAAAGAAGAAACATTGTTACTAAAAGCAACTAAAAAATATATTCTAGCAACAGCAAATGCTGGCAAGGATGTGGAGCAGTAGGGACTTACAGGCATTGCTGGTGGGAATGCAAAATGGTGTAGCCACTTTGGAAGACAATTCGGCAGTTTGTTATAAAACCAAACAAACTCTCACCATATGATTTAGCAACCCTGCTCCTTGGTATTTACCTAAATGAGTTGAAAACTTATGTCCACACAAAACTTGCACACAGTGTTTATAGCAGCTTTAATCATAATTGCCAAAACTTGGAAGGAACCAATATGTCCTTTGAGGTGAGTGGATAAATGAACTGTGGCACATCGAGACACTGGCCAATTATTCGGTGCTTAAAAAAAAGTGAGCTATGAAGCCACAAAGAGATGTGAGAAATCTTAAATGCATATTACTAAGTGAAAGAAGCCAGTCTGAAAAGGCCACAACTATATGACATTCTGGAAAAGGTGAAAACTACAGAGATAATAAATAAAAAGATCACTGGTTCCCAGGGGTTTAGAGGTAGGAGGGAGAGATGCATAGGTGGAGCACAGAGGATTTTAAGGGCAGTGAAACTATCCTGTATGATACTATAATGGTGGATGCATGTCATTATACATTGTCAAAACCCACAGAATGTACATCAAGAGTGAACCCAAATGTAAACCATGGCCTTTGGGTGATGTGTCAGTGTAGGTTCGTTGATTTTAACAAGTGTACCACTCTGGTGTGCGAGATGTTGACAGTGGGGGAAGTTATGCGTTTGTGGGAGCAGGAGGTATATGGGAACCACCTGTCCTTTCTGCTCAGTTTTGCTGTGGATCTAAAACTACTCTAATAACTAAAAAAAAAAATAAATATTTTTTCATCCTGATAATATGGGATAGTTAAGTCTTATTAAAATATTCTTTTTTAGTATCTCTCTTCATCCACAAGGAAGGCAGTGTTTTGAAGCATTTAGGTGGGTAGGTCAGTATTTTATGCCTTTAAAAAAATTAATGGACTTTATTTTTTAGAGCAGTTTTAGGTTTACAGCAACATTGAGCAGAAAATACAAAATTCACATATATCCCTTCTACATCTATTGTTTCTCCTATTAACATTTTTGTTAGTATGGTACATTTGTTATAATTAATGAGCTGGTATTGATAACCTTATTATTAATTAAAGTCCATAGTTTACATTAGAGTTCACTCTTTTTATTTTACAGCATGTGATTTTTTTTTTTTTTAAAGCATATTTTTCTATGGCCAGGTGTGGTAAAGGAAAGCTGAGGTGGGAGGTCAGAGGATCACTTGAGCCCAGGAGTTCAGGACTAGCCTGGGCAACACCATCTCTACAAGAAATGAGACCCTATCTTCACAGAAAGTTTAAAAACTAGCCAGATGTGGTGGTGTGTGCCTGTAGTCCTAGCTACTTAGTCCTAGCTACTTGGAAGACTAAGGTGGAAGGAAATCACTTGAGCCAAAGAGCTTGAGGCTGCACTGAACTATGTTTGTGCTACTACACTCCAGGTTGGGTGACAGAGAGCCTGTCTCTTTATAATGTATATATATTTTTTATTTTTTATTTCTTTTCACAGATTTTGATCCCTAAGAGTCAATATGTTTTGACAAATGTATAAGGATATGTATCCACCATTACAGTATCATTCGGAATAATTTCACTGACCTAAAAATCCCATGTTTCATCTATTCTTCCCTCCCCCCACCTCACCCACAACCTCTAGCAACCACTGATCTTTTTACTGTCTCTATACTTTTGCTATTACAGAATGTCATATAGTTGGAATCATACAGCATGCAGCCTTTTCAAATTGGCTTCTTTTGACTTAGCAATATGCATTTAAGTTTCTTCCCCTTTTTTGAGGCTTGATAGCTCATTCCTTTTTATCACTGAATAGTATTACATTATATGGATATACCTATTTGTTTATTCATTCACATATTAGAGGATATCTTGGTTGCTTCCAACTTTTGGCAGTTATTAAAACTGTTGCAAACATTTGTTTGCAGATATTTGTGGACATAAGTTTTCAACTCCATTTGGTTAAATGCCAAGGAGCAGAGATTGCTGGATGGAATAGTAAAAGTATGTTTAGTTTTGTATGAAACTGCTAAACTGTCTTCCAAAGTGGTTGTATCATTTTGTGTTCCCACCAGCAATGAGTAAGAATTCTCTTGCTCCACATCTTCACCAGCATTTGGTAGTGTCAGTGTTTTTGATTTTCACCATTCTAATAGGTTTTAATGGCATCTTTTTGTTGTTTTAATTTGTAGTTCTGATGATATATGATGTTAAGCATCTTTTACACTTATTGGCTATTTGTGTATCTTTTTTCAGGTGTCCCTTCAGATCTTTTGCCCTTAATTGAGTGGTTTGTATTATTATTATTGAGTTTGAAGAGTTATTTATATTTTTGGATTATAGTTCTTTATCAGATTTGTTTTTTGCAAATATTTTTTCCCAGTTTGAGGCTTGTTTTTTATTCCCTTAACAGTGTCATTTGCAGAGTAAAAGTTTTTAATTTTAATGATGTCTATTCACAATTTTTTTAAATTGTTCATGCTTTTGGCATTTTATCTAAAAAATCATTGCCAAATCTAAGTTCATCTAGATTTTTTCCTATTATCTTCTAGGAGCTTTATAGTTTTACATTTAGATCTATAGTCTATTTTGAGTTAATTTTTTGCAAGGTGTAAAGTCTGTATCTAGATTCATTTTTTTGCATGTGGATGTCCAGTTGTAGCACTACTTGTGGAAAAGATTATCCTTCTTTTTCCATAGAATTGCCTTTGCTCTTTGGTCAATGATCAGCTGACTACATTTTTGTGGGTATATTTCTGAGCTCTCTCTTCTTTTCCATTAATCTATTTGTCTGTTTTTTTCCCCCAATACCATACTGTCTTGATTACTGTAGTTTTATAGTAAGTCTGGAAGTTAGGTAGTATGAGTCCTTTGACTTTATCTTTTTCTGAGTCTTTTGCATTTCCATATAGAATTAGGTTGTTGATGTCCACAAAATAACTTGCTGGGATTTGGTTGGGATTGCACTGAATCTGTAGATCAAGTTAGGAGGAACTGACATCTTAATAATGAGATGTCAGTCAGTGTTCATCTGTCCATGAACATAGAATATCTTTCCATTTATTTAGTTCTTATTTTATTTATTTAATCAGAGTTTGGTAGTTTTCCTCATATAGATCTTGCATGTATTTTTTTTAGATTTATATTGAAATATTTAAGTCTTGAGGGTCTTAATGTAAATAGTATTGTGTTCTTAATTTCCAATTTCAATTGTCATTGTTGATAAAGGAAAGCAATTGACTTTTGTATGTTAACCTTGGATCCTGCAAATTTGTTATCATTGGTTATTTTGGGAGTTTTTTGTTGATTCTTTGGGATTTTCTACATAGACAATAACATCATCTGTGAACAGAGACAGTTTTATATCTTCCATCCCAATCTGTATACCTTTTATTTCTTCTTGTCTTACTGCAATTGCTAGACCTTCCAGTAGAATGTTTAATATTTCTTCCTTTCTGTACATATGAAAACCTAATGTTTTCTCAAAGATGAGATGAATAGATAAAACATTTTTAAAGAAATCTGGGTTGTCTTTTTAAATAAAAATAAAACCATCAGTTTTGTAATGACTTATTAAATTTACTCCATTCATTCCAAAAACAATTATGTCCTTCCACTCTACTTACCAGACATTGTTTTAGGCACTAGAGATATATCAGTGAATAAGACAGAAAAGGTCTGTGACACAAGAAGCCTGCATTCTCTGTGAAGACTTATAGTTAATGATGTTTATTGAAAAGGTACACTATATTTCTTTGTTTAAAAAGCTTGTCCCTATATTAGTGATCTTATATCACAACTTACTCAGGAATTTGGGATAGAGATACAGAAGTTCTTTATTGGGTACTGATTAAGCAGGGGAGAAAGTGTTTATTGGATAAGGATAAAGAATTTTGTTCTGAACTCATGTCTGTGGCTGTATGTGGTTAGAGGAGCCCTAGTTTGAGTGTGGAGCCAAGTTGGTGAGGCTCAAATTTTATTGTTGTTATTACCAAAGTCTGTTGGAGGTGAGAGCCAAACACATGTTGGACGGGAAAAGTCCTACTTTTAGCTAGCAAATAATCTCAAATTCAGGTGCTATAGATTATTGATTCCTTTGCCAAGGGTTCTTAATCCTTTTTGGGTAATGGAACCCTTTGATAATCTGATGAGGCTGCATTCATTCTCCCCACAAAAGTGTACCTGTATATAATTTTGGGAGTTAATAGATCCCAGTGAAATCCATTCATGGACCCCTTAGGGGTTGGTTAATCCAAAGTTAAGAACCTCTCACTATAATCAGAATCACAGTGAGAATTGAATGAAGAAAAGTAAAGAATGTGTCAGTGCTTAAGGATTTTTAGTAAATATAAGAGAATTTCTCAATGCGTACTTTTTTTTATAAACTAACATCTAATTTTTATAAAAACAACTTTGGGCTTTTGAATATGCCCTCATTATTAAAATTAATGATGTTTCACTAGTAAAAGCGTTTAGATTTTCATAATTAGGAGGATAGAAAATAAGACCCATGGAATGAAGTTACAATGTTGTAGGGGGAAAATTGCTTAAAAAATGGGTTGAGTTTGTTGTTTTATTTTTAAAATTCAACTTTTCTTGTTAGGTGAGAACTAGAACAGTTGCTGAATGTGTAGCATTCTACTATATGTGGAAGAAGTCTGAACGTTATGATTACTTTGCTCAACAGACAAGATTTGGAAAGAAACGATATTACCATCACCCCGGAGTTACGTAAGTACCATGGCCTTGACTTCAGTAACTTGTGTTTTTAATCATGATATGCAGTCATAAAATTTTGGGTGTATATTTTTCAGGGACTATATGGATCGTTTGGTAGATGAAACAGAAGCTTTGGGTGGGACGGTAAATTCTTCAGCCTTAAATTCTAACCGGCCTGAGCCTATTCCTGATCAACAGCTGAATATTCTCAACTCTTTCACTGCCAGTGACTTGACAGGTAAAATGAAGATCCCTTTGGGTTCTTTAGTGTAGTTTGTTGGAAAATTGTGTCCTCTTTGCTTCATATTACAGGACCACTTACTTAAACCATTTTCTATTTCTTTTTAGCTTTGACCAACAGTGTAGCAACTGTCTGCAACCCCACGGATGTGAATTGTTTGGATGATAGCTTTCCTCCACTGGGCAACACACCCCGTGGACAAGTAAATCATGTGCCTGTTGTAACAGAAGAGTTACTCACCCTGCCCAGCAATGGGGAAAGTGATTGTTTTAATTTATTTGAGACTGGATTTTATCACTCGGAACTAAATCCTATGAACATGTGCAGTGAAGAGTCAGAACGACCAGCAAAAAGATTGAAAATGGGCATTGCCGTTCCTGAATCATTTATGAATGAGGTTTCTGTAAATAATCTGGGTGTGGACTTTGAAAATCACACACATCACATCACCAGTGCCAAAATGGCTGTTTCTGTGGCTGACTTTGGCAGTCTGTCTGCCAACGAGACCAATGGTTTCATCAGTGCCCACGCTCTGCATCAGCACACCGCCCTTCACTCTGAGTGACACAGGGAAGGAGCCCAGAAACAGTGTGTGTTCAGTACCAGTAAACTTGAGGGGAGCTATCAGGTTTGCATAGTCTTTCACTGGAAGTTTGAACCTTTTTCACTATGACATCAGTGATGTCAGTATGTATAGAACTATATCTTGATTTATCAAGAGTATTTTCATTTTTCAATCCATAAATGTGGAAATGAACTATGATCAGCAGAGTTGGGAACTAAGATTGAACTCTGTGGTGCAGCTTTAAGCTCTGCTTCTCTCTTCCTCATCCCCCAATACCTCTTCCCCACTCCCTTCTTTTTCTATTCTTTTCTGTTCCCCACTGCCCTCACTCCCAATTTTAAAACCTGTAGACAGAGGCCACCAGCTCAAAACCAGCACAGATGTTCTGAACTGAATGGTGTGGCTTCTTTTCATGTAAATTCCTTTTGCCGTAACGGATGCAGTGGAATAACAATGTTTACAGGTACCGATCCCGATCCCTGCTCAATGTAGCATTTTTTTGGTTTTATTTTCTTAATTAATAAAAGCAGGGGTAGGTTTCTTTAAACTGCACAAACATGCAAGGATTTTTTTAAAATGGAAACTTCTCTCATGTTATTCAACTAGAGCACTTCAGTTTACAAAACAGCAAGTCCATCTTTATGGAAGCCAGCACGAGGAACTGTGTGCAAATATGAAGACACTTGCTTGGATCCTGCTTCAAAATTCTAGACCAGGGCTACCTTACACAGAATTGGCCATTTTACTGCCAGGAGATTTCTGTGTAACTTCATTTATTGGCTAAAAATTTGGTATTTGAAGATGTGGTATTCAGATGGGGTTTTGTCCACCATTGTCAAGATTGTAATCTTAAAAATCATATACTGGTCATTGATAATTTAGTTTATCCTGAGGCAGTTGACTTGCAAAGGCACAGTCTACAAAGCCTAGGATGTTGCCACTCAATGGTTTACATTTTGGGACACCTCTTAAGTTGTTTGTAGCACTGCAGTTCAAAGTGTTAATATTTAGAGGGACTTCTAGATTTTATACATAATGCAGTAGAACCTTGAAGTATATTTAAGCTTTTTTGTTTAGCTTGAACACCTAGCAAGAAAAATGTGAGTTCCTATCTGAAATAGAATGGTACGTTACCACTTTAAGTTTTAAAAAGTAATAAACATTCAGATGTATCTCAGTTTTATTTTTATTCTAAACATCGTGAATGGGAAGCCATTGTCATAAACTTTGGCCATTTTTGCTCTATAGACATGCCTCTTTAAGTTATAAGGTGAATCAAATAATATGTAATACAGTATTAGGATGTAATAAGCTTTGCTTTTATAGTACAGTTAAAATACAAAATTCCTTTTTTTTGACACCATCTTAATTAAAATTTTTGATTTTTACTAGTTGTATTGCTTTGCAAAAAACTTAAATGTTTGGCTACATTGCTAATATTTGTAAGTGTAAGTTGCTTCAAGGTTGTGCTGATGAGTAGATAGGACATAGTGATTAGTGATCGAAAGGGAGGGTATTTATTATACAAACTGTGAACTGCAATGACATCCTTAGTTTTGGATGATGTGTACTCTTGTTTTTCTTTGCAGCATTTTAATGAAGATTGCTTTGAAGTGTTTACGCAGTAGCAGATTTACTATAAAATTTAGTTTAGCACAGTGGACAAAAGTAGTTAATAACTTAAAATCAGTCTCTAATTTATACATCTGAAGTCTAGCATTCCTATATGCACACAGTAAATAATGGGTAGCCTGGGCTCTGTTGCTTTCTGATATTTTTATCCAAGGTTGTCAGCTTCTTTTGCTGTGTTGGTTGTGCTAAACTTTGAACCTTATTTCTTTTATTAAAAATCAGTATACTTTCTATAATTTAGTAAGATACTGGCCATGATGTTCCATTGTTATAACTTTAATTTTCACTCTGGGTTTACAGTGGCTGGTCTGTATAAATAATTTACAAAGATGACTGAATGCTAATACCAGTTGCACTTAAATGAACATGCCCATTCTCAATAGCTGATGCAGTAATATATTCAGTTTATCTATGCATTGCTGGGATCTTGATATAAGATGGAAACAGTGTTTCTTATCTAAAGTTTTGATTATCAGCAAGTTGAATGGACACTTTAGTTATTTAAATAAAGATTTTTGACCAAAATCCAGAAAATGGTATGAGAGAAAAATAAATTCCAGCTAGTTTAATAGATTTTTAAATGCCAATCTGATTTTAGCCTCTTAGAGAGTGCTAACTAGCTGGTAACGTTTACTTTTAATTCCTTGTTAAAATGAGGCAATAATTTGCAAGATTTTTGTATATAAATGTAAATTCTTCATATCTTTTTAGATCTAATTCAATATTTTCTGACTACTTCTGCCATGTATAATACCATTTTTGTGCATGCTTGATGTGACATTCATAAATTGTACCACTATGACTTTATCCATGTAAAATAGCTATTTATTGAATTTTCTTTTAAAAGCTGGATTTACTGTTTTTTCTCTCCGTTTAAACATCTTAACAGAATTTGTTACTGTTTATTAAAAGAATTGCGTTTGAAAGCATGAAAATAACTGATTTATAATCATATGAAGAAATAATAATGCCTTTATTATCAAGTGTTAAGCACAATTCTTATAACAAACTGTGATAAATTCTTTGTTTTTTTTCCTTTGCCGCATTATTTTTGTATGAACAAACCAAAAATTCATGGTGAGCAGTTGCAGTGTTGGCTGATATATCTTTAATGTACAGGGAATTTGACGAGGACAGTGGATTCATTTAGAAGTGTAACTGGTGCTGTGATTATAGCAATACTTTACTTTTGTTAGTTGTACTTCATCTTTTTTACGCTAGCTTTTTAAATGTTTAGTTTTCCTCTTGTCATGGTCAACTGCTGAATTTACTTGAAGGATGTAGAATACTGTTTAAATAATACTAAAATCTGTACAATTAGGTCAAAGAATTGTGCAATTGTTTCCTTTTTAATTTTTAAAATCGAGGGTCATAAATATTTGAGAATGCCAGATCTGATAGAGCATAGTGATACTATTTAATTTAACCAAAGTCTCTAGTGAGTATTTCAACTTTGAATGTAAACTAACAAATAAACCTGACCACCAAGGAGATTGTTTGCCCAGAGTTTCAAAGCACATTGTCTACAAATGGGAATTGAAATAATTTATAAAAATATTGACATTACTATGTTTTTTAAAAAGTTCCTAATTTTTTCACTAAAAGGAGGAAACTATTAGTTTTATTGTTAAATATGGTAGATATTATTCCTCTTAGATGACCAGTGATTCCAATTGTCCCAGTTTGAAATAAGTACCCTGTGAGTATGAGATAAATTAGTGACAATCAGAACAAGTTTTAGTATCAGATGTTCAAGAGGAAGTTGCTATTGTTGCATTGATTTTAATATTTGTACATAAACACTGATTTTTTTGAGCATTATTTTGTATTTGTTGTACTTTAATACCTGGTGTACAGTTCCAGAAATAAAAATCTGGAAATCTTTTTTTTTCTTGGTTTGTGTGAGTATTTGCCAAAAATAGATTTTTTTATTTAATGAATCTTAAGCTATACCAAATAGCTAATATTACACCCCTGTTAAATTGGTTTTACATGCAGTAAATAAGACATATGATACATAAGTATTAAAGGTGGTAGATAAGTTTTCTTTAAATCCTTTATAGTAGTTTTCCATCTATAATAAAATTCTAACCATCTTAAAGTAAGGATTACTTTAAGTTTAATTAAAGTAATTACTTACTTTCAGTTAAAGTAATTACTTACTTTCAGTTAAATTTAGGAAGCATTTGTTGAATGTTATGTTTCAAACACTGTTCTAAGCAACTGGGTCTTTTAGGAAAACGTGATACCTGAAATTTGATCAAGTATTATTTGACAGACTATGGTCAACTAGTCTTCCTTGTCTACACTATTCAATGTTTCATTGAACCTGCCTTGTCTTATCTTTCCTAAACCTTCATTTCAAGCTAAAGATCTTGCCTTAGCCTAATTTTATAAGTTTGTCCCTATATATCATTTTCTGTGACCAGAACTTTATCTGGCTTCATTCTTAAAATGCAGTAATCAGGCTGCACATAATATCCAAATTTTGTACTAAGCCAACAAGGGAATAGAATGAAAGCAAAAACTTTCACTCCTCTGCTTTTGGTTACTTGTCTAAAACCATATTCCTTCATTCTCAGACACCAAAAGGCCTCAGTGTGGAGGGCTTGTGTGGTGGGCACATGCACAGAAGCACCTCCAGAGCGGGGACAAGTGCAGTATTTGAATACAGCCAAGGAGGCAGCCAAGTGCCCCATACACAGTACTTCAGGCTTTGAAGGAGGGAGAAGCCTTGTGGAAGCACAATAATCTCTAGTGACTTCTAGGCTACTGGAAGTCATTTTGACCATAATTTCCATCAATAGTGTGCTTTTTGAGCCTGCTGGTGATAAGTGCTACAGAGAAAAATAGGGAAGTGGAATGGAGAGTACTAGGGTGAGAGCCATGATTGCAACTTCAATAGGATGATGAGGCAAGGCTCCTCTCTGAGAAGGTGACAGGAAAGGGGAGAACAAGCTATGTGGCCATCTCAGGGAAGATCTTTGCAGGCAGAAGAAACAAGTGCAGAAGCCCTGAGGTAGGAACGTGCCTGGCAGGTTCAGGGAGTGGTCAGGGGGTAGGTGTGGCTGGGATGGAATGAGTAAGGTGAGAGCCAGGAGAGCAGATCTGAGGTAATGAGCAGCCAGATCACGTATGTGAAGGACTTCATTTACTCCAGGACAGGAGGAGGATTTTAAGCAGGGGCATGTCAAGATCTGACTTTAACTTTAAAAGAATCACTCTTGGTGATGTATTCTGTAAGCAGGGCAGGTATGGAAAGAGGAAAGACAATTAGGAGACTATTGAAATTGCAATAAACTAGAGGAGTAGAGCTGGTGGCACAGCAGTGAAGGTGGTCAGAATCTGGTTGTACAGGTTCCACGAAGATTTCAGAGGCCCAATAAATAACACCCTCCTTCCTATTCAAGTTTAGAACTGAGAATTGGAGCAAGAGTCCGGTGGATGGAGATCAAAGTAACTATTGCTAATAAAATTCTGGGGAAGATGTCTTCAGAGCTCTGGCCAGGTTGGCTTGCTAATACTCCACCTCTGAAGTAGACTCATTCTGGCACTGGCTGGGCTGGCTACCAGCTGCTTCCTGCACAAGGCAGAGAACTGGCCAGAACATATTCTCTCTGCTGGCAGGCAGAGTCTACAGAGTAGGAACTAGAAGGGTGTGGGCCATTGGTGCCTAGTTCTCCAAACATAGCCTCAGAAAGTCACTTCCTCTACTGGGGGGAGAGAGAAGCTACGAGCATTATAAATGGGAGCCCTCCACATAAAACCTGAGACATGGGGAAATAGGTATTCCTCCCACTGACACTATCTTTTAACTATATTCCCACGTAAAAACAATCTCTTGCTCTTTTTTTAAACCTTTTTTGGTGTGGAAATGTTCAAAGAGTAAATAGTAGAAGGACCTCACATCTTCAACATAATAGATATTTTTTTTACTTGATTCTGTAAAAATAAAGTTTTTACATGTTTGTAGACATCAACAGTACTATAAAAATTACTAGTGCTTGGCTAAAATTTTATAAACCACCACAGAGCTGTACAAAATAAACAAAAGAAAAATTGAAATTGGGAGTTCAAGTAGTAGGTTTTAATTTAATAAGCTATTGTGTATTTAGATGAAGCCCAATTAAAATTTGAATTACATTACAAATTTGAAATTGTAATGGAGCAAATAGCTTTTATCATGAAATTGGAACATAAATATCAACAAAAACAAAATTCCTTCTCCAATTAGGTCTCAAAATATTTGTTCTATAGGTGGAACTCAGAGAACTGATTAACAAAAAACATTTAGATAACTGAGTAGAAAACCTAATTTCTAATTCAGAGTTAGCTGACTATTGTGTAGTAGTTTGAAAAAAGCTCTTCTCCTTGGTTGATGTCCCTAAGTGCGACCAGAACGACACATCGAAGCGGGCTGAAAACAAAAAGAAAAATATACAAAAGGTAAGAATATTGACAGATAAAAGCCCATATTTTTAATATAATCAGCATGGATGGGTTTTATAGATGTAACTTTCTCTCTACTCAGGTTCCCTACATTTTAGTTTATACATTTGATTTCTGTGAGGAAATAGTTCTTATCCCTGATGCAAGTACCCTAGAGTAGGGGTCCTCAAACTTTTTAAACAGGGGGCCAGTTCACTGTCCCTCAGACTGTTGGAGAGTGCGCACTGTGGGCCCAAGACAATTTGGCTGTTGAGGATAGGCAGCAGCAGCAAAAACACCCGGAGGTCCGGATAAATGTGCTGGATGGCCCGCATGTGGCCCATGGGCCGTAGTTTGAGGACACCTACTCTAGAGTATGTCTACATCATTAAAAAGACCACAAATCAATAGGTTTATACAATTGACTATGTCTTCAGAAAACTCTTTCTATGTTTAGGCCCCCAAAACTGATATCATGAAAAGCATTTTAAAATGACATTATAATTTAACATTCTTTTTTTAGTTTTTATTTTTATTTTTTTTGAGACAGAGTCTCGCTTTGTTGCCCAGGCTAGAGTGAGTGCCATGGCAACAGCCTAGCTCACAGCAACCTCAAACTCCTGGGCTCAAGCAATCCTCCTGCCTCAGCCTCTGGAGTAGCTGGGACTACAGGCATGCGCCACCATGCCCGGCTAATTTTTTCTCTATATATATTAGTTGGCCAATTAATTTCTTTCTATTTATGGTAGAGACGGGGTCTTGCTCTTGCTCAAGCTGGTTTCGAACTCCTGACCTCGAGCAATCCGCCCGCCTCGGCCTCCCAGAGTGCTAGGATTACAGGCGTGAGCCACCGCGCCCGGCCAAATTTAACATTCTTTTATTAATTTGTATCTTGTATTCTAAAAAATGAAAACATTACTTAAAATTAGTTGGAATTAAGAAAATACTTTTTTTTGGACACAATTAAGACACTATTATATGTACACCTTCGAAGTTCTAATGACATCATATCCCAGAGTGTATAGCTAAAAAAACCTAATTGTTCTAACACACACTTGTAGAGACACAAAAGTTACCAAGTTTTAAGTATAGTGAATAGTCCAAGTTTTAAAAATCATTCATCTTAAAAGGATAATTTAATAAGTCCTATATAAATAAGGTATGCTAGCAACTCAGTGAAATGATGTAAAGATTTATATTCCTATAGCATTGTTAACAAAGAACTCAGTCTCCAGAATTACTTATATTAAAAATTGTTATTTGAGTATTCTCAGTAGACTTTCCATTTAATAAGCAGAAAATAAATATTGCATTCAAATATGTGTCTTCTGGATATAGTCCTTTTTTTCACTATCAGGTTTCAGAACCAAATAGTGAAATGGGCAAAAGAAATCATAGTGTAATTTGGTCTCTTCAATCGGGTGCTTTCTTGTGAGGCAGAGAACATGATACTTTAAATGATTAAAGTAAAAATGTGTTTGAAGATTTTGTGGGTAGGAAAAACAGCAGAATCATACGAAAAAAACTTTAAGGTCAATACTTGTAAAGTATTACATAGAATAACAATGGATAATAAGCAGAATAAGCTAAGTTAAAGGAAATTTTAAAATTTCAAATAAGCCTACATTAACACATTAAGGTGTAATGAACATAAAAAATCTAAGTTACTTATAATTTTTCACTAAAAATATCTTACCCCAAATTCTATATAGCTTTTTCTTAGAAAATATTTTTTTAAGTACCACGTAAGATAGAAATGCTCTTTTAGAAGACTAACCTTTGCTTGTCATAGCTGTAGGCAATGTTTGGAAGATACTGCTTCAGTTCTATAGGGAAAAATGCGGGCACATCAAATTCTTGATAACAGACATTAGCTGCTCTGTCTAGGAACAAGCACAAAATTTTTAGAAAAAGACCCATGATACAAGGTCATGGAAAACAGTATTGAATTATGACTCTTAACATAGGGTTTTCTAAACTATTGGAACATGCTTAATAATTACTACAATGTTCTAGGAACTGTTAGAATCTTTTTTTAAATGGATCATTGGGAATGAAACTTCGATTTTATATATTTATATATGTATAGTAAATAACAAATAATATGTAAAACAGAATATCTGAAAAGTAAATAAAATATTTACATATAACATAATAAACATGTTTATATTATACATAAACATATAATAAACTGTATGTTTTATTGTTTACCTTTTATATACCAGGAAATAGAGGCTCAGAAAGGTTAAAGGTTAAATAAGAGTCAGGCTTGGAGTTCAAATCTCCTTAACAACAAAGCTATGCTAAATGTAGCCAAATGATCAAACTTTTATCTATGGGAAATTCAAATCCTAAAGAAGGTAAGTGACTCACAGACTGAGTGAGGATACCAGTCCAGCAATTAATCTATAAGGCTATATTAAGGCACTGACAAAATAATCTCTAAATTAACTAAAACACTATTTAAAAAACACTAAAATAATAATGATCAAAAGGGCAGTTATCCATTGCCTATATTCACTGCAAAATCAGGACACAAAAGTAGTAACTTAAAGAATTCCAAATAATGTGTATCATTATTTCCCCAGATTCTCTCTCTGATATCATCCCTCCAAAAGTTATAGTTGCTTAAGGACTTTGAATAGCTGAGATGTTACATGCAATGGCATTTGGCACTCAGTCATATGGCAAAGGAGTAGAATTAACCATTGTTATATCTCATCTCACAGCTCCATGATGCTTACTTACCATTTGAACAATTGTTGACATACTGTCCTACAGCCAGGGGATTATGAATTTCTGATGTTAGCCATGTACTATCACTCATTTTTAAAGGGCCAAGTCGATCCCTCCCATCGCAAGATCTGAAACAGGTGAAAGCATTAGCTAAGGGATTATTCTTCTGTATCTTAAAACAGAATTCAAAAATACAAAATTTACCCTAGAATTAAACAAGTGCAATTTCTCTTAAAAACAAAAAACTTGTCTAATCAATAGGACAAGTGAGTTGTTACATAGAAGCTACCTAAATAGATTTTTATTTAAAGTACAAATGCTATTGGTCATCATTGTTGTAAGTGTGGTTCTGTCTCCTATATTTAAATTTGAATGTGGGCATCACTTACCTGTACACAACTTTTGATATTCCTTTGTCATTTCCATCAATGAGTACCCCATCCAGGCATCTAAAAATAAATGGATTTCCAATGGACTGGAAAAAGATTGGCTCATACTTCTGATATACTGTACCTATTATACAACAAGATAAGACATATTATAGCAACATGAAAAAATCAGAAACACTATGGTAAGAACCTTTCTCTGAAACATAATCACATTCTCCTTGGTTACTTTACCCCTTTAAAGAATGAATGTCCAGTAGTAGAGCATAGAACCAACTTGTCCACATAGCAGAATAAAATATAACTACCTTGGTTAATGATAATATGAACATCACATTTTAGGTTCCATTTTACAAAGTCATATATATTTTTTTTTAAGTAGAGTGTGATTTGACATCTAAAGAATCTTTTTAAAATGTATTTTGCTAATAATTTAATAATGTAGACATATATGGGCACAGATGAGTCTGACATTCAGGTTGCTTCTCTTTTTTCTGGCAAAGGAGGAAAGGAGAAAATTAATATTTATCAGGTGCTTCCTATGTGCCAGACATGTTAATCTATTAAATTTATTTTAGTATTAATTTGTTCGGTTGACTTGTTCTATTTAATTTTTATAGAGTTAGGTAAGTTGTACAGGAGGAAACTCAGACTTTCTTGCTTAGGGATGTAAAATTAGAAAATAGCAGAATGATTTTTAAAAAACATGGTCTGACTCAAATATTCACATCCACACTTTCTACTATACCAAATAACATAAGTTTAGCAAATAACATTCTATTGAGCATTCTAGTCAATGATCTTTTTTTGCAAAGAAGTTGCCTTAGTAGTGTAGAAATGGAAGGAAAATCTTTATGCAGCAATTTATGGATTTAAACTCTTATCTTTTATATTTTGACCCATACCATTTTTATCTTTAGTCATCAACTAAGCCAAAGTGGCTTATTCTCTAGTGCTTTCTAAGTAATTTGTACAAGTGGACTATACTATGTTCTAAACATTGCCTAGAAAGATTTCCTTAAAAGAAAAGTGCATTTATTCCAACAAATACTCCGGCATACTTTCTAACACATAATTTACAAACAAGTTCATTCCCAAATTAGAACTTCAAAAATCTATGGAAACCTGAGTTTCCAATTTAACCTTTAAGGATTACAGGGTTAGGCATTTTGTTGAGCTTATATTAATTATTAATTAATTATGCAAGAAACTTGGCAAAGTACTAATCGTGCTGTTACCAGGATACATAGATACAACCGCGCCTTTTGGTACCAATCCTTTAGTAACGAAGACACCTTTTCCAGCAGAAATCAAAGAGCTAGTAGCTCGAGAAACACTGAAACCCAATGTCTTATAAAGAATTTCTTCTGGTTTTAAGATATTTTGCTGTTGATGTCTGTTTTCAAGTAGTTTCACCCTTTGATGTTCAAGTGCCACAAGGTCTTGGTATTTTGATTTAACAGGTTCTGGAAGCATAGTCAAGATTTCTGATTGTTTATCAAAATCATTTAAAAATAGAGCCTGGAAAACTTTCAGTAATGTTCCTAAGACATCTTCATCTGAGATAACTTTGTCTTTAGATTCCTCTGGAACATATCGGAGGGTCCTGAAAATGGGGAAAAGTTTCTATTCACTACCTTTCAACTGATAAGAGCCACACTCTCTTCATGCTTTCTGAGTTACTGGTCTTAATGAACGATAAGATTATTCTGATGTGTTTGAAAAACATAAAGCTCAAGAAGTTCAGAAAAGAATTGTTTGGGGTTGCTCTAGTTACCTAACTCCTAACACTACCTACATGAGTAACCAGTATTTATGAAAGGCCCATTCTGTACCAAATGCTTCTGGGTCCTTTCATTATCCCATTTTTGCAGACAAGGAAACAGGCTTGGAGGTGTTAGGGAACTTGCCCAAGGTCCAAAAGCCAGCAAGTGGGATAGCCAGAAGCAGAACTGTAGCTCAGCTCTCTTCCCCACTACACCCAACAACCACTTTTTTTTGAGTGTTATCACATAAAGAGAACCCTCACATTCAACGGCTTTCTTTACAGGCATGTAGTTTCAAAGACAAATTTAACATACACACTGTGTCACATTCACTCCACGAGTACCACCTTCTTTAATGACTGCATCGCTTATTTCCACAACTTTAGTACACAATTTCCAATTGTACTAATTGTATTATTTTTACTCTTGAACCAAAGGGGAGCAATTTCCACCTCACAATTCTATAGTAACGATGCACCAGCATTCATGTCTCCCTCGTATGAAACTTCGGGAAATCTCTTTGGCTTCCCAATTTTTCGTTAACTACCCTTACAGGAGGCCTAGTCTGCCTATGTGGTGAGCACTGTGTTGACTCCTTGCAGATCACTAGCACACCCTTAATAATGCCGGCAGCGGCACTGTCCAGGGCGCTACTCAGCTAGCGTACTCAAAACCCGACGTGCTTTTAGTCGCTTTTTGCACGTTTTATGCTTTAGCTACTCCAAGGTATTCTCACAGCCGAGCTGGGCTGCTTTCACCACATAATTATTTGTATGGAGCTGTGAAAATAAACCTTGATTTGGCTTTTCTGAGGAAGTTCAAGTTCCTAACTATGCCTCAGCGGAGAAAATGCCACACATTCTCACGAGGTAAGAGGAGTAGCCTTTTTTTTTTTAAGTTTTTATTTTTGGCCCAGATATAAGAGCCCTAGCGAGCGCGGACCCCTAAGTGGAACAAGCGCCACGACCCGCATGCAACCCTAACCTTGCGGGCCTAGCAGCGCGGAGGACACTGGGAGAGGCCGCAGGCCCCGCCCCCCTAAGGTCCGCGCCCGCTTCAGGGACTCGGCCGGCCGCCGCCAGACCGGCTTCTGGCACAGCCCGCCTCTGGCCCCGCCCCACCGCGGCCCCACCCGCCACCAGCCTGCCCGCCTCAAACCCGGACGCGGCCTCAGACCCCGCCCACCTCGGCCCGCCCACCCAAGACCCCGCCCACCCCGGGCCCTCGGCCGCCTCAGGGAATCCCCGCGCGCAGGTGGGTCTGCGGCTCCGCTGCAGCGGTGGCGTCTGGAAGTACCCAGAAGGTACCCTTGGTGCGGCCGCCCCGCCTTCTCACCTCGGGTTGTGGCTTAGGTTCAGCGCGATCCAGGGGACGAAGCGGTACTTGTAACGGCGCCATCGCTGCCACAGACCCAGCAGCAGGCGGCGCGGCATGGCTGCCTGGCGGGCCGTGACAAGCTGGGCGCGGGAGAGGCGGGTCGCGGTCTCGGGCCCGCCCCGGCCGGGGAGGAGCGGGGCCGCGCTGTCCCGCCCCCCTCGGTTTCCGCCCTTAGAGTGCCTGGCACCGCCTGGCCCCTGTTGCTCGGGCTCCGGCCCTTCCCCTTTTTGACCCCAGCCCGCTGAGCCATAGGCGAACAGAGCTGGAAGGAGGCCCCGTTTCCCCTTGTTCCTTCTAGTGTGCTTTGATGTTTCGCGCGCGCACACTCACGCCAGCCTTGGCTGTGCGCAGAGGGTCGCAGGGCTTCAGAGGGCGTCATGCCCTCGAGGAACGCAGCCTAGGAGTTGACCCCTGAGTTTCTTTCTCGAGCCCTGCCCGGCCTCCCCCTTGTGCCGGCTGCGCTCTGTGTTCCATCCTCCGTGCCTGCTCTCCTCCTGGACGTTCTCCTCTCTTTTGCCTCTCAGCAGCCTCACTCTTTCGGAACAAGAGTTTCAGTCCTACCCTTAGACATCAGGCCCTTCTGCCAGACTGAACCCATGTTCCAAAAAGTTACCAATTTGGGACTTTTGCGAATGTATATACTTAATATTTTTAAAAAGGGCTAGCAAGGTGGCTCACGCCTGTAATCCCAGCATTTTGGGAAACCGAGGTCGGAGGATCGCTTGAGCCCAGGAGTTTGAGGTTACAATGAGCTATGATCAGACCACTGCACTGCGGCCTTGGCAACATAGCGAAATGCCCTGTTTTCACTCCAGTTTTTCTCTTCATTCTCCCAAACACTGAAAGGCAAGACTACATGGGCAGAATGTGTTTCTAAAAACAGTTTTATTGAGGTACAGTTAGCATATAATAAACTGCATAATTTTTAAGTGAACAATTTGATAAGTTTTTGACGCACATACATACTTGTGAAACTGTCACAATCAAGATAGTGAACATATCCATCAACCACAAAAGTTTTCTTATGACCTTCTGTAATCCCTCCATCCAGCCCCTGCCGCCCATCCCCAAGCAACCATTGATGTGTTTTCTGTCACTATAGTTTGGTCATGATGTTTTTTTTTGTTTTTGTTTTTGTTTTTTTTGAGACAGAGTCTCACTTTGTTGCCAGGCTAGAGTGAGTGCCGTGGCATCAGCGTAGCTCACAGCAACCTCAAACTCCTGGGCTCAAGTGATCCTCCTGCCTCAGCCTCCCGAGTAGCTGGGACTACAGGCATGCACCACCATGCCCGGCTAATTTTTTTCTATGTATAGTAGTTGGCCAATTAATTTCTTTTTTATTTATAGTAGAGACGAGGTCTTGCTCTTGCTCAGGCTGGTTTTGAACTCCTGACCTTGAACAATCCGCCTGCCTCAGCCTCCCAGAGTGCTAGGATTACAGGCGTGAGCCACCACGCCCAGCTGGTCATGATGTTTTGAATATTATCTTTTTAATATATTTTTGGATTTAATTTGGTAAAGTTTTGTTTAGAAGTTTTGCATCTTGTTCATGAGAACTATTGTTCTGTAGTTTTCTTGGAACATCTTTACCTGGTTTTGGTATCTAGGTTAATGCTGGCCTCATAAAATGAGGTGGGAAGTAGTCCCTCTATAGGTAAAATTTGAAAGGATTTTCACAACTGCCCTTCCCCAAAACACATGCACAGACACACACAGAGACACATAAACACACACACACTACAGGTTTGGGCAGAGCTCAGTTTTCTTGGGGCAAACTACAAGAATACTGTAACCATCTTCAAATCACCAAGTGTTTATTAGGAGATAAATGTGTTAGTGTCATTTCCTCAGGCTGGAAAGTTGGCTTCCTATTCTTTGCCTGAGAGTGAAAATGAATCCTAACCTAAAGTTGAAATTGAACAACTCAGATCTAGTGAAAATTCTGGCTAATGCCAGTGGCTTCAAGACTAGTTTGCTCTATTCCAAAAGAAATAACAGGAAAGAAAGAGTATCTACAATGTCTCTCTTTATTTCACTCTAATATCATATAGTATGTTTGCAAACTCCAGAGATCTTAACCTCAGACCCTGTGTTTGGTAATTGGCATAATCCAGATTTACCTTACTTGCTAAATGGAGTCAATTTGGTTCCAGAATGTGTTAATAAATGGCATACAAAGAAAGTGCTTTTATAGTCTCCAGATATACAAGGAACCAAAAAGAACTAGTTGAATCCTTACCTATGGAAATGTATTTATCCGAAAAAACAAAAGCAGTTTTTGTATGTTTTTCCAGTGCTTTTATATTTATGGTATTAAAGTTAGGTTTTGGTTAGCTAAGTAATTCATGAAAACAACATTCTTCTTATAACAAATATTAATAGAAACGTGGTAGTTCAGGCTAAGTCTCCTTTAACCAAACCCTTTACCCTGTATATATGTCTACTAATCTTGGTCCTGGCTGCCTCTTCTCAGAAGTTATCAGACTGATGTGTTTTCTGCCAGTCTTATTTCTATGTATTTACATACCTGGTGAATGTTCTTATAGAAAATGCATATTTTGTGTGAACGTTTTAAAAATACTATAAATATCCAAAACTTCTTTCATTTACTCAAAAATATATCTTCGAGATCTACCCATATTAGTTTGTATAAATCCACTTCATTCTTCCATTTTTATAGTTTCACCTTCAAGTTTAATATTTACTGTAATTTTCTGGTAGATATACTTTATGGTGTTTTAAGAAGTTCTCTTCTGTTTTTGACTTTCCAAGAATTTTTACTTGTCTTAAATTTTAACTGAATGATGAATATCAAATGCTTTTCTCTGCTATTTATTGAGATAACCATATAGTTTGTCTCTGTTCCGTTAATATAGTGAATTATAATGACACATTGTGAAATTCTTTTAAAGATGCAGGTCTATTCAAAAATTTCTGTTTAATCTTATGTCTAGTTTGGTAAATTATATTTTTCATGGAATTTGTTCTTTTGTTTAAGTTGTCAAATTTCTTGGTTTAAAGCTGTTAATAAATATTGTCTTACTATTCTTTTAATGGCTGTGTGATCTGTAGTAATGATCCACTTTCGTTCTTGATTTTGTTTTCTTTTTTCTTGCATCAGTGTCATTGCGGGATTTGTCAATCTTCAAAGAAACAGCTCTTTTGACTATTAATTTTCTCTGTTTATTTCCTATTTTGTTGATTTCTGTTCTTTACTATTTTATATTTTCTACTTACTATGGGTTTATTTTGCTAGTTTCTTAAAGTAGATTATTAGGTCACTGATTTTAGTCTTTTCTTCTTTTCTAATAGAAGCATCTAAAGTTATAAATTTCCTTCCAAGCATTACTTTAGCCAAATCTATAGAATTTTGATATGTTGTATTTTCATTATCTTTCAGTATAAAACATTTTAAGGTTTTCTTTGTGATTTCTTTTTTTATCCATAGATTATTTAGAAGTGTGTTTTTAATTTCCAAATATTTGGGATTTCTAGATATAGTATAATTGGTTTTTATTTTTTAAAATTTTTTATTTTTTTGAGACAGTGTCTCACTTTGTTGCCCAGGCTAGAGTGAATGCGGTGGTATCAGCCTAACTCACAGCAACCTCAAACTCCTGGGCTCAAGCGATCCTCCTGCCTCAGCCTCCCGAGTAGCTGGGACTACAGGCATGTACCACCATGCCCGGGTAATTTTTTCTCTATATATATTAGTTGGCCAATTAATTTCTTTCTATTTATAGTAGTGATGGGGTCTCGCTCTTGCTCTGGCCGATTTCAAACTCCTGACCTCGAGCAATCCACCCACCTCTGCCTCCCAGAGTGCTATAATTGGTTTTTAATTTAATTCTGTTGTGGTCAGAAAACATGTATTATTTCAATTCTTTTAAATGTATTGACTTATTTTATGTCCCAGCATATGCTCTGTCTTGGTGAACATACCATATTCTGTGATTGTTGGGTTTAGTGTTCTATAAATATTAATTAGGTCATGGTAGTTGATAGTGTCTTTAGATCATCTATGTCTTTAATGATTTACATAAAATTTTAAATACAAATGAATGAGGCACAACAGATTGGCAGACAATTTTGTAATATACCATATAATCAGCAAGCATAAGGTTAGCATTGGTAGGTGTGGAGATGTGCTACTGTCCAAAACTATCCTCTTCTTCTGACTCCCTTTTTCTACTGTTGTTTCCAGTTTCCCCAAATATTCTGCACAATTGAGGCTAAGAATGTGTGTGCTGTATTTTTCTTTTGAAAGCCCATTTATGCTATAAATCACAAAATATCATATAGGAAAAATCTTTAACATCAATGTCCTAAAAATCTACAAATAGGGCATGTTGATTGTAACTTCTAGAGTTCAAAATGAGATGTAACTCAATCTTTCAATAATTTATTGAGCTTCTACTATGTCCCAGGCTCTAAGTAAGATAAATACTTAGACAGATACTAAGTAAACACATAAATAATATCAGACAGTGATTAATGCCCTGAAGAAAATGAGGCATGGCACTGAGAAGAGAGTGGGTTGGATATTGTATGGAGCCCCTCCAGAACCACTGTCCACAACCCTGGGGGACTGACCTATTTGCACATCATCAGAGTCCATTGCTTTCTTGCTTTGATTAATAGGGTCTGTTGGCAGGATACTGCAGGGAAGGAGGAGAGGGAGGTGTGGGTCTCTGTGTACTGGCTGTATCCTGACCACAGGTTCTTTTCATATAGCCTTCTGGCTCTTTCTGGGTTTCTTTTAGGCCTAGGGGTGGCAACAGCACTCCATTAGCTCTAGCTTCCCAGTTTTGTACCATTTTCCATGGTTTCCCTTTACTCTGTCCATGACTTTATACAATTGTTATCAAATTATCCTAATTTGTGTGTGTCATCTGCTTCCTGCTGGAACCCCAGTGTCTTTGTATGGGTCACCTAGAGTGGGAATAGGGGAAGCAACTTTGGATAGGATGATGGCATGAATGACTGAGACTAAAATGACAAGAAGGCACCAAACTTGGGAAGATCCACCAGGAGAATCTCTAAATAGGAAGTGCAAAGGCACTAAGGTGGGGAGGAGCTTGACGTGTTCAAGCAAGGAAAAAAAGGTTGGTGTGGCTGAAACATGCTAAATTAGAGAAAGGGAAAGATGAAGTCAGGGAGAAAGGGAGGCGCCAAATCCCAGGGAGATGGAATTCTTGGTGTTAGGAAGCCATTGGAGGGTTTGAGCAGAGGAGTGATAAGAACATTTTGTAAGAACACTTTTAGTATTATGTGGAGAACAGGTGGGGAATCGCCACACCAGGAAGCTAAATAGGAGGCTAATACAGTAGTTCAGGCAGAGCTGGTGGGAGCTTAGACTAGGGTGGTAATGTGAAGATGGAGAGGGTGGATAGATGGGGATTATATTTTGGAGGAGGAACTGACAGGATTTGCTGATGGATTGGATGTGGGAGGGTGAAGTTTTGAAATGCCTATAAGCAATGTCTAGTAACTGGTTGAACGTTTACATCTGGAGCTCTGAAGCCATAGCTGGAGATAGCATTAGGATCTTCAGCCAGAGGAGTGGATAAGATCACCCAGGAAGAAAAAGGAGATGGCAAAGAACGTAGATTGACAGTGACCACAGATGTCACCAAATGCGGACCCACCTGAGATGACTTGGTCAAAAGCAGCTTTGTGGTGGGTGTGAGTGTGTCTGAGTGTGTTGAGGAGAAAATGTGAGGTGAGGAAGGGGAAATAAGCGTGCACATTTCTTTCAATAAATTTTTCTGAAAGGGAGACAGAGAAATGGAGTCAGAGGAAGAGAGGAATTTAATAAGACTAAAAATGCTACGGCATATTTCTACAATGACAAGAATGATCCAACAAAAAGAAAGAAATTTTGTGTGTGTGTGTGTGTGTGTGTATGTTAGGAGTCAAGGGGACAGAGGAAGTAAGAGGCAGAACTTTGATTTCACAATTCTTTGCTGGAAGAGAGAGAATATTTAGAGACAGTGGATATTCTGTAGGCTATTTGAATAGCTGCATCATCTAATGTGGGTAACATAACTGGCAAATGTTTATTCACTGAGAACTGTATGCCTCAGTGTAGCTTCAGAAGATTACAGTCTAGCTGAGACAACATATAATTCATAAAAACTACATATTAATTACCATGGATTTTAGTGTGAGTTACTGGAGATGGGGAGTGCTTCAGAGAAAAGTAAGTGGAAGTGGAAGGACAAGGATAGCAGAAGCCAGCATTTCTCAAAATGTGGTCGGGGGACCCTGGGAGTCCCTAGGATCTTTTCTGGGGTCTACAAGGTCAAAATTATTTTCTTAATAATAAAGACATTATTTGTCTTTACTCCCTTTCTTTTACAAGGGAATAGTGAGGAGTTTTCCAGCCGCTATGTGCTGTGTGATAAGACAACAGAACACAGAAGCAGATATGAGAATCCAGCAGTCTTTTATTAAAGCCAGAAATTAGATAGACTTGGAAAAATATAAAAAATACCACTCTCCTCACTTTTTAAAGGGGGAGACATAGTTATATTTCATAAAGATATGCTATCCGATTTGACATGTAATCGGTTTTTCATTATTTCTAATGAATTAATAAATATGTAAACATTGATTAGTTTTAATATTGATACAGTAAATATCAATAGCTATAAGCCACATAAACAAAAGTTCTTTGGGGACTCTTGATCGTTTAAAAAAGTGTAATGGGGTCTGAAGACAAAAATGTTTGGGAAGCTGAGTGTTAGAACCATATTGTGATTCAAAATTTTGAGAAGGAAAGTATGTGACAAGGCATTTCATCAAATGTTGAAGTTAATACCAATTCTATGGATTACAGTAGTATGTTGCATATTGATGAAATTAGAACAAAGTAATTTCAAGTTTTTTTGTGTTGCAGAACCTAAAATATTGCATAAAAAATAGAAAAAATGGTCTCTGCTAATCTTTGTGTGAATTAGCAAAAGCCACCTTTCCTCCAGCCACTTTACTGCAATCTACTGCAAAAAAAAATTGTAACATATACAAATGTATTAGGACTCTAGTGTGCAAGATGCCCCTTATAGTGGTTTTGTACCTAGCTGATTGTGGCAGCCTTGAATGTCAGCTGGAAGGATTCTGTGGCAGTAGTTCTCAACTGCTCTGATACCACAAAGTTTGAGGACCACTGGCATGAGCAAAGGTGTTGAGGTTGGATAGAGCACAATGGGTTCAGAAAGCAAAAAATATAATAATGATAGGAGCAGAACAGAAATTTTATGTTAGGAATAAAAAATAAAGTTTTAGGCAGAGTAAGATCAGATCATTGGAAAACCTTGAGGTTTGAGGTAGTATATAGTAGATAGTCATTGAAAGTTTTTAAGTGGAATGCTAGCTGGAAATAGAGTTTGGGAAGCTCAGAGAAACTGTGGTTGGCAGGATGCATGGATGGATATGGATAGATGGATGGATGGATGGATGGATGGCCAGCTGAGAGCAGGGTGGTCCTGAGAACAGGAGATCAGGAAAAGTGGCATCAAGTATCTTGATATAGTCTCTCTTTTGTTGTAGACTATTGGAAAGGGGTGGGGGATGGGAAATAAGACTGTCCTATTAGATGATAGTCATTGAATCTAGCTTTTAGGAAAAATGGAAAAATGAATTTCTTAGTGATCGCCTTGGGTCTTTTCAGTTTTCTAAGAGGAATGCTGAGATTTCTGCTCTATTCCTGAGAATGGTATGGGGTAACATTTGATTTTCAGATAGCTGGCAAAGTCAACAGGCTGTTAATAACAATCTTAATTTAAAGAAAAGTTTTACTGTGCTGCCCTCTTCTGGATATTTCATAATTGTCTAAATAATTCTTCCACAGTGTTCAATTGGTGTGGGCTGAATTGTCACTGAAAAATAGGAACTCAGCTACAAAAAAGAAAAAGAAAAAAATGAAATCAAGGTAAAATACAAAAAGAAATTAAATCATAAAATATGCAAACTTAGAAATATTTTTCCAACTTTTTATTTTGAAAATTTCTAACCTCCACCAATTGCTAACATTTTACAACTCCTCCTCCCTTTTCTCTCACATGCACATATGTATATGTGTATATGAATTTTTTTTCTGTTTGAATGTAAATTTTACATTAGTTTCCCAATAATGACATTTTTCTACATAATCCCAATACCATGATCACACCTTTTAACCATTTCGGTACGAGCTTCGACTATAGTCGACAGATGAATGCGCACAGCGACTTTAGCCGACAACTGTGAAATGAAGGCGCACAGCTGAGCGTTGACTTTAACCGACAACTGTGATATGACTTTTCTAATTTTTCATTTATCAAAATAAAATTGTGAACATTTAAAAATAACATAATGAAAACATATATGTATGTTACCTATTCTGATTTACATTAGAAGTAAAGCTGCCGGTAAAGTAAAACAAGCTTTCAGTGCTTTAAAGCTTTCCTCATCACACAAGAACAAAACGGGTTTGTCGTCAATGCACAGCACAAACTACTGTGTGTGAGTGCCGGCTGTGGGCAAGGTTTCCCGGCCGGTGAGCGCCCTACCGAAGTGGTTAAAATAAACATTGTTCAATATCATGACTATACAGCTCATTTTTAAATTTCTCTAATTGTACCAAAACTTGTTTTTATAGCTGTTTGTTATTTAGTAATTTGTTTCAAAAATATGGATCAAAGTTCACACGTTACATTTAGTCTATTTTAATCTAGTCTAATTTAATCTACCCCCTGCTTTTATTTGTTTTTTCATGACATAAAACTTTTATGAAGAGACCAGGTTTGTTGTTTTTTATAATGTTCTATGTTCAGCATTTTTTTGATTGCTTTCTCATAATTCAACTCAACTTACACAGTTTTGGTGCACACACACACACACACACACACACACACATAATGTGTACTTCTTACTACATCAGGAGTCACATAATTGCAGGCTGTCCCACTACTGCTAATGCTAAATGGGGCCACTTTTAAAAAGTGACAACTAACAGATCTCCATTGGACAATACCAGTTTCCCTTTGTACTTAATAGTAATTTGTGGAGACTCTATGGCTATGTGACTATCCCACTTCCCAACAACATATTACTGATTTCAGCATCAATGAGGATGCTTGCCTGAGTCAATTGTTACACTGAGGTTTGCAAAATGATACATTTCTAATTCCATCACCCTATGTATATTTATTCAGTAGTTTCTTAGCTGGTATTCTTCTGTAAAGAACAGCTTTTCTTTTCCCCACTCCTGCCCTCTAGTAATCATAGCGGACTCATGGATCTTTTTAGATCAGTGTGTTAGCATTATTATTTCATTTGATGTTCAAAGTGTCCCAAATTTGGTGTGGTGGAATGCTACATATGCATATTTTGTTATATGATAATTGGCCTTTAGTGGTAAGCATTTCACATCAGTGTGTCTAATTAGACAATAGTTTTCTCTTAGACCCAATTTCCCGAAGCTGAAATTCCCCTCCAATTTTCGACTTTCCTTCTTTTGTTTTATAAGCCTAGACCCACGTCAGAGCTCAAAAAATGGCCAGCCCAAAAATGAGGTTTGTCTAGCTTACAGTTCTTAATAAAAAATTTAAATTAGTTTTAAGTGTTTAAACATCAGGAAATTGTACCTAAAATCCAAATTTCCAGTTTCTCTTGGAAATTCAGAGGCTTTGGCAATACTGGGCTTTCATTCTGATATAGTAACCATGGCCTGCCCTTGGACATGAATGTCAGGTCTGCCCAAAGTCTTGCTAGGGAGACCTCTAGTCCCACAGGTGTTTGAGTCTGTGATTTTTGGGTCATTCACACACACACACACACACACACACACACATTATGCATCTACTTTGTGCCAGGTACTGTTCTAGGCCATTTACAGAGGTTCTCTTACTTATAACAACACTTGTTTTCATTTTTTTTTTTTTTTTTTTTGAGACAGAGTCTCGCTTGTTGCCCAGGCTAGAGTGAGTGCTGTGGCGTCAGCCTAGCTCACAGCAACCTCAAACTCCTGGGCTCAAGCAATCCTGCTGCCTCAGCCTCCCGAGTAGCTGGGACTACAGGCATGCGCCACCATGCCCGGCTAATTTTATATATATATTAGTTGGCCAATTAATTTCTTTCTATTTATAGTAGAGACGGGGTCTCGCTCTTGCTCAGGCTGGTTTCGAACTCCTGACCTCGAGCAATCCGCCCGCCTCAGCCTCCCAGAGTGCTAGGATTACAGGCGTGAGCCATTGTTTTCATTTTAAAGATGCAAAAATCGAGGTTCAGAAAGTCAAATCAGGGGTTACATGGCCAGTAATTGGCAGAACCAGACTTAACCCAGGTTATATCTCAAGTTCTGTAGTTGCTGCGTCTGTCATCTTCACTTACTTTAAAAGGCTCATCCTTTCCTCCCTTACGCCAGCTCAACCTGAGATTCATGCTTACAGCATAACTTAAAACTGACAAACCTAAAAGTGTCATGACATACAAAGATGGCCATTTGTATAAGTTTCCATTAGTCATGGTTTTCTCCAATGACTGTATTTCATACATTTTGTTTTGTAACAAATGAATTACATCGGTTCCTAAATACAATAAATGGCATTTTCCATAAGAGCACAATACCCCAACATTTTTCTGGATTCTATCCAACCTGCAGATTTGGTCACTTTATAAAATTATTAATATTTAAATAGAATGGAGAAGCAATAGAAATGATTCTTAATTTGAAGTAAAAAGCTTTTCTCAACGTTAGTATTTTTCTGAAGTGACAGAAATGTACCCTTTCATAAAAATACCCAAAACTTATTTAAAAGATGCACATTTTAAATCAAATTATACAGACAAATGGCTTCTGAACCCAGTGACATTACCTATCTCGCAGGGCTGGATCAAGCTTCTCATTGAGCATGAGAGAAGTGACTAGAGAGCAGAAATATGAAGGATAAAAGAGTGGGAAACAGCAACACATGACCACAAGGCACAATTGGAGATTAAACCTGTGGGCTAGACCAAGTGCATTCCTTGGTGCAGTTTGAATGGCAGAATGATTGAAATTGCCCCATTTTCCTCATTTGTAAAATGGGGTGTGATCACTGTGCTCCCTCCAAAGCATGCCTGACAAATATTAATAGTAGCTGGTGAATAAATCTCTTCCCAACATTGCAACCTTAGAAGACTGTTTTTATGCTTTCTTATACCACATGCTATAAAGAAAGCTGAGTGAATATTCAATTGAGTTTAATCTATGCCATGTGGGAACAGCAGCAGTATTTATATGAAAGTATTTAACATGTCATATGAAACATATGATGGATTGTTAATCATACGAGTCATAAGATAGCTAAAAAGGGTTTTAAAAGCTTTTTGAAAAAGCTTTCCTTTTTGTCAAAAAGTCCTCAAATATTGATATGGGGGAGGCTGTCAGTATGTGAAGGCAGGGGATATACAGAAAATCTCTGTACCTTCCACTTAATCTTGCTTTGAACCTAACTGCTCTAAAAAATAACCCTTTTTGTTAGCACTTTACAAATATTTATTCAATAAATGAATAATCAACCTCATTTAAGTAGTTACTATTTAGAAACGAATTTATGAGAATACTTTATAATTTTAAATAAAACTAAATAGTTGCCCACCAATGTACTATTTTTTCTAAATGGTGACTTATTTGAACAGGCACCAAAAAAGATGCTTAGCTTAGCGTTATACAAGGTAAATTCAGCAAATTACTGCATGTGTAAGCATAAGTAAAGCATTGCCTTGTTTATTTTTTCAATTTATTTATTTTAAATTTCAGAATATTATGGGGGTACAAACATTTTGGTTACATATGTTAACTTTGCATCACTCAAGCCAGAAATAAAGTCAATTTTTTTAAAAAAGCTCTTAGGCTGCTGGGGTAGTGAGGGCAGTCAGGCAAGGGTTAGGGCCCACGAAAGAAAGACCCCACCCGTTGGGTCGGGGTGGGGATCCAGGGATTGGTTACATGGGGGCAGAATCAAGCAAGTAAGTCAATGTATGGGGAATAATTGGAGCCAGGACTCTCACTGCCCAAGAAGGCAGTTACAGAGTTGGAAAGTTTTAATGAACCCTGTTGGTGTCAGATCAGAACTGGAAGATTAGTGTGAATTCATGGTTTTTATGTGTATATACATCTAGATATGAGTATTTTGCATGTGTCAAAACTCTGTACATTCATACATATATTCCAGCTCTACCAAGAGGGCCTGGGAGCAGTGACACCAAGTGTCAATGAGTGTATTTAGCACCCTGATCTTGGTTTTTAAATACTATTGTCCATCAAAGGAATTAGGACTCTTTGGGAAAATGACTGATCCCCAGGGCCACCACAGACAGGGCACAAGATGGAGCTGAAAGCATGGAAGTGTTCAAAATGGTAGCTTGCCAAGGACAAAGAAGCTAGCTCTCAGAAGTTCCCACTGGCCAGTGTGAGCAAATATATGACATGTGGTAAAGTAAATGGGAGAAGAGAAAGCTCTTTCTTGTAGCAAAATGCCAATTAATTAATAGAAGAAATGAAGGAACTGGGAGATCACCATTTGGCAACCATCAGAGAAATAATTCAGGCAAGAAAGCTAAGAGCAGAGAGCTAATATTGGATGAGAAACAGGATATTTATGTAGTCTCAAAAGTATCAGCCCCCTGAATACTTAATATAAAGGTGGATATTAATTATAAAGGGAAAGAGTAACTTTAAAGTGTCAATCACAGTTAACATCACTGATGTTAATGATGGGACAAATTGACCTCTACGCTTCCTGATATGATTGATGCACTGAGAGAGCACAGCCCTCTGTGATTTTCCCACCAAAAATGCATATTCTGAATCTAATCATGAAGAAGCATCAAACAAACTGAAATTGAGGGGCTTCTATAAAACAATAATTTAAAATCTTAAAA